AAACATCAAACATTAAAAACTTCCCTAAACAGGGCTGCTTTCAGATGTCTTCTATAAGTCAGACAGTTGTTTATTTCCTTGACAGCTGATGGGAGGGCATTCCACAGGGCAGGCGCCACCACCCAGAAGGCCCTCTGCCTGGATGTTCTCTCTCACTTACAAATAAAGAAGAACAGTTCACATGTTGCAACTGTAAAACACACATATTATTTCATGCGTTTTATCTGAGCTGAGCCGACACTGTGACAGAAACCAGAGCACACAGAAATGCCTTTACCTTCCCACCGCAGCAGTACCTGTTTATCTACTTGCACTGGTGTGCTTTTGAACTGCTAGGTTGGCAGGAGCTGGGACAGAGCAACGGAGCTCACCCCGTTACAGGGATTCAAACCGCCGACCTTCTGATCGGCAAGCCCAAGAGGCTCAGTGGTTTAGACCCATGTCCCTATTTTTCTCCCATAGCCTTAATTCACACCCAAACCTTCCCCATCATAGTCTGGGTTTTCCCATATCTGCATTCCCCACAGTTGCCCCTGGAGAATTTTGGATGCTCTGCCTTTTTCACAAGTGTGTCTGTGGCTTAAGGATGCTGCTGCTGCCACCACCAACGCTAGACTATTTAACTTTACCAGAGCGGAGTTTGCATAGGGAAATGAGAGCCGGTGGCATGCACAGGTGTTCCTTGGAGTCTGCTCCTTTTTTACCCAGGCCTAAGTGGCTCATTGCAGCTCAGCTCAAAGCAAAAAGTTGGCAGTGTAGGGGGGAGGTACCCCTCCCGACCGCTGTACCATCAAATATTTACTCAGCCACAGAAATGCAGGACTACAGAGTCAACATACCATTTGTCCTTCCTTATCGCCCCAGCCAGAAGGGGCACTCAAAATCTGGTTGCAGCTCCACACCTGTGCAAAGTGGGCATATGAACCATAACACACACACACACACACACACACACACACTGAAGATTGTGGGTTTCTCGGTGCATTTATTTATAAACTCATATCTATAGTGCCTTTCACCAAAGCGGTTTACAATTCAATAAACAACAATGATATGATAACTCAGGAAACGCATTAGTGAAATATATATGGGTTGGTTGGAAGCAAGCAAGCTATTTCTCAACCCCACTAAATCATACAGGGGTCCAAGACATATGAAGTGCTAGCCCAGGGCAGATGTTCATACACAGCCACTCTTTTGCAGACATCTACACTCAACATGGGGATGTGGGTGGCGCTGTGGGTTAAACCACAGAGCCTAGGACTTGCCGATCAGAAGGTTGGCGGTTCGAATCCCCGCGATGGGGTGAGCTCCCGTTGCTCGGTCCCTGCTCCTGCCAACCTAGCAGTTCGAAAGCACGTCAAAGTGCAAGTAGATAAATAGGTACCGCTCTGGCGGGAAGGTAAACGGTGTTTCCGTGTGTTGCTCTGGTTCGCCAGAAGCGGCTTAGTCATGCTGGCCACATGACCCGGAAGCTGTACGCCGGCTCCCTCGGCAAATAAAGCGAGATGAGCGCCGCAACCCCAGAGTCGGCCACGACTGGGCCTAATGGTCAGGGGTCCCTTTACCTTACACTCAACATGTGGATATTGGAAGAATAAAGCTGGTCTGACATACAACAAGCCATTGTCCACATGTTTGCCAATGCATGGAGGACTTTTTTTGAAGAGAGCTGAAGTGATTTTCATAACCCAGGGATGGCTCCTTGCCATCTGAGTAGGGGGGTAAACCAGGAATGGAGCAAGAAAGGGCAACTGTATGGAAATGGGGTTTCCAACTAACCAGGAGAAAAAACACACCTCTGTTCTGTGCCTACCGTAGCAGACTGGGATGCAGGAATCAGCTCTGTGTGACATTCAGTGAAAGCACAATAATGCTACTGTCTGCACACCAAGCATGCGCTAAAAGCACACCTGCAACATTTACTCTCTGGGAGGGAACTTTGTGATCAGAGAAAGCTAACATTTTTTAGTTAGAAATTGAACAAGAAGAGGAAAGATCAGCTTAGCCACAGATAGGGATTGGGGGGGGGGGATATGATTCAATTCAATTTTAAAGGTCTCCAAATTTTGCAGTGCAGTTCTTCACTTGCAGAAGCCTAAAAAGGCACAAGCACTTTGGAGAGGTAAGCACACACTAAAATGCCCATGGCGATTTCTAAAGGAAGTGGCTGCATTGCACTGACATCTGAGAAAGAAAGAAAGAAAGAAAGAAAGAAAGAAAGAAAGAAAGAAAGAAAGAAAGAGGTAAGGTGTGTGTGTTTGTGTGTTGATTGGAGTGATGCCTCTGATCGCATTGCATGCGGCTTTTGTTTTTATTTGTAAACTGAGAACGAGCGAGAGCCTCTTATTAAGCTGCACAATTGCGGCCCACTTCTGTCCCCGTGAAATGAGCCGTTCCCTCCATGGGAAGAACAAACAAGGCAGCCGGCGGAGGCTGTGTGGAGTTATCGCACCCAGCCTGGGGCGATTGTATCAGCTGCCTGGAACAAAAGCCATTTTATCCCCGGGGGGAAAGAGTCCATCCTGGCAGGCATGCCACACGCGTGAACCGTCTGGCGCACCGATCCTTTACAGGAAGATGGAATGCTGGCTGAATCGTTTCCTTGACTGTTCTTTATTTATCTTTCGTGTGTTTCATCATCGCTGAGCCCAGGCGTTAAGAGCAGGTACCAGGGGTTCCTGAACTGGGTTCCAGTGAAGCCCTAGCCAACCACTTGCAAATGGGGTGGGGTTCCTCAACCCCATTGCTCTATTTCCAAAACACAAGGTGGCAGGCAGGGTACAGATTTGCCTGGCCACACAGAACCCTGCAGGTGAAATCTCCCACTAGAACATAAACAAGAGCACTGCAGGATCAGACCAAAGGCCTCTCTCTTCTAAGGTTGTCAGACCACCAGGGCTGACTTGAAGTCTCCAGGTTTGCCTGCTGCCCCCCAGATGGCAGAAAAATGTCTTGACTTTCCAGGTGAATGAGAGGGTCTTCCCTACCCAGGCTCCCTAAGCAGGTGAGAAGGAATGATCCCCTCACTTCAGCTGGACCTGGGAACATCCATTTAGCTTAAGGCTTCTGTCTTGATTTCCAACCAGTAACACATTTGCTCATTTGTTAGTCTTCCTGTTATGTATTTGAACGACATGCTCTCAGTGACTGTCGTTAATGTGGGATGTGTCATGCGTAATAACATTATTGTGGCCTGCCCCCTGTGACATCACTCAGGCCCGCCCCTGTGACATCACCAGGAGCTGCCCCTAGGTCTCAGGTTTGGGTCCTACAATCTCAGGGTGTGGGAGGCTTCTCTGACCTGGCAAGCTGCTTCAAGAATCCCACTTTATACAGTGACTAACTACAGTGGTACCTTGGGTTAAGAACTTAATTCGTTCTGGAGGTCCTGTTCTTAACCTGAGGTACCACTTTAGCTAATAGGGCCTCCTGCCGCCGCACGATTTCTGTTCTCATCCTGAAGCAAAGTTCTTAACCCGAGGTACTATTTCTGGGTTAGTGGAGTCTGTAACCTGAAGCGTCTGTAACCTGAGGTACCACTGTACGTACCTTGGAGAATCTGAAAAGCAGAGAAGGAAAGCAACAGCCCTCCCTTATTGGTTTGTCCTTCTGAGAAACTGATGCTCAGAAATTTGGGCGGGTTTTATTGAGCTATCATTATTAACAGAACCTATTAGCCTCAGCCAGTATGGTCAGTGGTTTGGAAAGACGGGTGTTGCAGTCCATCAACATCTGGAAGGCCACAAGTTCCCCACCCCCTACACTAGAGTCTTGGGAACTGAGGCAAGGTCTACACTCTACAGAATGGGTCAACAGTTGACACATCATCTTATGCTGTTAAAAAACACCACCACAGCCACCAGAGTTTCCCCACGCAGCGCAGAGTCCAGAAGAACTCCCAGTGTCCTTCATCCTGAATGGTTTCAAAACTTCAGTCTACATTCACAAAACAGTGCCCTAAAATACATACCTGGACTTGTTTCGGTTAATGTCTGCAGGAGACTTTGTGGATATTTAAGTTATAATTAGAAAAATCTTAATAATTATTCATAACGGAAACAGTTTATAAGAAGTAAATAAGGAGGCCAGATACAGGATAAAGGAAGTCTTTTATTTGGTTTTTTGTATTGTTGTATGTTATGCTCATGGGACGCAGGTGGCGCTGTGGGTTAAACCACAGAGCCTAGGACTTGCCAATCAGAAGGTCGGCGGTTCGAATCCCTGTGACGGGGTGAGCTCCCGTTGCTCAGTCCCAGCTCCTGCCAACCTAGCAGTTCAAAAGCACGTCAAAGTGCAAGTAGATAAATAGGTACTGCTCTGGCGGGAAGGTAAACGGCGTTTCCGTGCGCTGCTCTGGTTTGCCAGAAGCGGCTTAGTCATGCTGGCCACATGACCCGGAAGCTGAGCTCTGGCTCCCTCGGCCAATAAAGCGAGATGAGCGCCGCAACCCCAGAGTCGGCCACGACTGGACCTAATGGTCAGGGGTCACTTTACCTTTACTTTATTGTTGTATGTTATGTTCACATTTAATGAGGGTGGATTTGTGTATTGGGTGGGGGGTTATGTTATGATGTAAATAAAATTCCAATAAAAATTAAATAATAATAATAAAAACTTCAGTCTACAGTGGTTGGTAAGGCCACATCTCAGTGGTACAGCATCTGCTTTCTCTTGGGAAGATCACAGGTTCAATCCCCAATGGCACTGGCAGGGCAGGGAGAGGTCTCTGCCTGAAATCTGGGAGAGCCACTGTCCATCACAGTAGACAATACTGCGTGAGATGGACCAATGGTCTGACAGCTTCCCTATGTTCCTGTGCCTTGAGAGAAGGACTCTAGTTCAGTGGAGATCATCTGCTTTAGATCCCAGCTCCAGTCCTTGGCATCTCCCAAGTAAAGCTGGGGATGTACCCTTCCTGTAAGCCTGGACAGCCACTGCTGGTGAGTGTAGACGATGCTGACCTGGATGGACCAATGGTCCAATCCTGGATCTTAAGGGCTGTAGCTCAGTGGTACAGCATCTGCTTTGTATGCAGATGGTCCCAAGTTCAGTCCCTGGTGTCTCCCAGTTAGAGCTGAGAGTGACCTTTGCCTGAAACCTTGGAGAACTGCTGCCAGTTAAGTGTAAACAACACTGGCCTGGATGGACCCAAGGCAGCTATGTTTTCCACACACAGTATCTCCATCTTGATCTGCATCGTGCTTTACTTTGCTCAGTTTTACCCGCCTCCATACCACCAACTGGCTCCAGTTCAAGAGCCCCCAGCAGCAGCCTCCCTCCCCTTGTCATTTCAGCGTGGACGGTATGATTTGCATGCGAGTCCACCCAATTCTAAAGAAAAATGAAGGCGCATTGAATCCAGGGAGATTCTGCGGTCAAGTTTGAAGTTCAGTCTTCCCTCCATCAAAGTTGTCTCTTGCATTTGATCAATAAGCTGCCCCAACTATCAACACTGGGTGAATAATTGCCCTTTTAATCATGGGCTGAAAAAACAACAACAGGGTCACCCAGTGTCTGCAATGAAGGCCTTTTATATCCAGGGCAGGACTCTGGCTCTTGCGGTTTATAGGGAGATGCACAGCACCTGCAGTTTGTTTGTACTGCTATAAAAGAAAAGGAAGAAAGTGCAAACCACGGGACAGGAGTGCCTTTTTTGGGTGGGGTGGCAAGGCACCATCCCTAAACACAGCCTAGAGAGGAGCAGAAAATGGGCGTCCGAGAGATACTAGATCACAGCTATGAAAACACTCTCAATTAAGGCCTCTTTTCTTTACATCTACCATATTTTCAATGCAGTAGATGGAAAGGCAGGTATCAGAGGCTTGCTAGGGGCAGCTGGCTGGGCAGGGGAGCATGGGGGCAGGTTCCTTTTTGCCCTGTGTCTGCAGCCTAACACAGCCAACTGCGTTTGGCCATGAAATATATGATGGAGGGGGAAGAATGCAACCAAAGGCATGATTTGTGATTAGATAGAAATTGTTTATCTGGTTTTTCACACAATAGCTTCAAGCAGGAATCACGGAATCATAGAACTGTAGAGCTGAAATGGACCCCAAGGGTCATCCAAACCAACCCTCTGCAATGCAGGAATCACAGCTAGATCATACATGGCAAACGCCCTTCCAACCTCAGCTTAAAAACCTCCAAGGAAGGAGAGTCCACCAGCTCTCGTGGGAGACTGTTCCACTGTCAAACAGTTCTTACAATCAGAAAGTTCCTCCTCCTATTTAGTTGGAATCTCCTTTCTTCCAACTTGGATCCATTGGTCTGGGTCCTAGTTTCCGGAGCAGGAGAAAACAAGTTTGCTGCACCCTTCATAGGGACAGCCCTTTAGATATTTGAAGATGACTGTCGTATCTCCTCTCAGTCTCTTCTTTGCCAGCTATGTAGCTGAGCAGGCAGGACTCAAGGTTTTTGCAAAACCACGCTTAAAGGTTTTCATCCATTCTTGAAACAGCTGGTGCTGACTCTCCCCAGGTGTGTGCATGCAGGGTAGGTGTGAATTTAAGAACATAAACACAGAGAGAGAGAGAGAGCAAGAGCCACTAGCTTACTCCAATAGTCCACCCAGTCCAGCATCCTGTTCTCACAGTGGTCAGCCAAATGGAATGTGAGCCTCTACTAGGGATGGAGAGAAATTCAATTCAGTTTCCATTTAAGGGTGCACCTATCCAATTTTCACTTTCTAAAACAATCCATGAATGGAAACACGGCTACCCTTAGGAATTCACATGTATCTGAATTTTGCAATGCAATTCCCCACCCAAGCAAATTGTACAAAAATGCACACACTTGGATAAAATGAACATAAAAATGCATGCACTAGTGAAAATAACTATTGATTATTTAAGTTATCCTTGTATTTTACAACGGGGGGTGGGGAGAGGAGCTTGTGAGATATTCTGGTTCACAGCTACAAAACGAAAATTTACCACCCTTGGGTGCTATGCTACGCCCTTGGGTGCTTTAGAGGACGGGGGCGCCGTTTGCTGCCTAGCCTCACGCAGGCACAGCAAGCTGTCTTGAACTGGCCCCAGTCAAAGCGGTGTTTTGGAACTCAAATATTTAACTGGTTGTGTTTTAAATGAGACACAAAAAGTTTTTTACAGTGCAGGAGGGAGGTTGGAATTTGCAAATGGAGTTATGAACCCACAGCCGCCTTTTGAGGGCTTGGAGAATCACATTCCAATCATAAGTCAACAGAGAGCTATGGCGAGGAGCGCTCATTGCTGGGTGCCTTTTATGCCTTGGGAGCAGCTGGCAGATAAAGCAACCGGGACACAGTACCTTTGGTGCCCCCATAAAACATGTCCCATCCTGTCTTGGAGCTAGCAAAATGTTCAGCTTGCTTAATGCAGCCTTTAGCTGAATATGAGGCAGCAGCAAAGGGCTCCATCCCCTTGGAAGGGATCCTGTCTCAGTACTTTTTTTATTATTACAACAAAAATATTGTTGCTATTGTTACTGATATTATCCCACTTTTCCTCCAAAGAGCTTGATGGTTCGCCTTCCCCATTTCCGGTCACATCCACCACCACCCACACACTCAATAGTCATGGCATCCCTGCCCGCAAGAATCTGTAGCTTGTTAAGGGAGCTGACTCCACAGAGGTACAATTCCCAGCACTCTTAACAAACTACAATTCCCAGGATTCTCGCTGGCTCTTAAAGGAAAAGGTAAAGGGGCCCCTGACCATTAGGTCCAGTCGTGACCGACTCTGGGGTTGCGGTGCTCATCTCGCTTTATTGGCTGAGGAAGCCAGCGTACAGCTTCTGGGTCATGTGGCCAGCATGACTAAGCCGCTTCTGGTGAACCAAAGCAGCGCATGGAAACACCGTTTACCTTCCCGCCGGAGTGGTACCTATTTATCTACTTGCACTTTGATGTGCTTTTGAACTGCTAGGTTGGCAGGAGCAATGGGAGCTCACCCCATCGTGGGGATTCGAACCGTCGACCTTCTGATCAGCAAGTCCTAGGCTCTGTGGTTTAACCCACAGCGCCACCCGTGGCATAAAAATGTTTTAAATGTACATGTGGGTGTGGCAATCGCAAGAACACTGAGGTGGAAAGGTATGGGCAGATGTGCCAACTTCAGTTTCTTTCACTTTCTCATATTTTACCAGTTCTAAGTTTAGTTTGTTCTATTTCTGTGTAAACTGACAAACAAACATACAAGTTTTAAGTCCACGTGAACATTCGTAATACGAGTGTATCATACAATTTTGCCGAGTGCATGTCCATTTTTTAAGCAATTTCCTCCTAATAGAATGCATTTTGGGATGCTGTTTTCATGAATATATGTGTTTTTGCATGCATACTTTTCAATAATGTGTGCATTTATTATATTTTTCTACACATTCCTTGGCTGAACAGCTGCATTGCAAAATTAGCAGAAGTACGCATTTCAAAGGAGAAGAGCCATGTGCCTCAATGAGCACTGGTTCAGGAAATGTGGATTTGGTAGGCTCGTCATAAAAGGCACGCCAAATACATCATCTTTCCACCCCATCACCAGAGGTAGGTTAGGCTGAGAACTGGCAGAAAGCTGCCCCCTGAGCTTCAAGACTGCATTGGGAATTTAAACCTGGCTCTGCCTCACAGTCTGCCACTATTTTCTAGCTCCTGAGATGGCCCTGGGCAGAGCCCCACGCACTGCCAAACTCCAAAGCCTTAATCACTGGCTCTTTAAGAAAAATGAAGGCAGCCATTCACAGGATGCCAACTCCTTTAGTCGCCACTGAACTCTGCACATGTGCAGAAACCCAAATTACACGCAGCCGTGGTTAGAAATGAAGCTACTTCACCAGCTCTCTACTCAATTGGCTGAGAGCAGTGCTCAGGAGAAGGCCTGCGTGAGTTTTCCTCCACTAGCTAATTTCACATTTCTGAACAGGCATATCTGACCTTCCTGGGAACCCGGGTGCGGCGAAAACCTCCACACTTTGGATTGTGAAGCGTGAATTATTGTGACACTGTTTAACGTGTAATCCAAACCGTGCTGGGCAGTGCCCAGTATGGAAATCCTGCCTTTTGGTAAACATCAGAGCTACTTAAAAAACGTTCTTCCTTTGAAAATCACCTGGTCTGCCCTAATGCTGGGGAAGAAACACGCACACCTCATAGGAACATAGGAAGCTGCCTGACACTGAGCCAGACCAATGGTCCATCTAGTGCAGTAATGTCTACTCTGACTGGCAGCAGCTGTCCAAGGTTTCAGGCAGGGTTTACTCCCAGCCCTACCTGGAGAATTGAACCTGGGACCTTGTGCCTGCAAAGCAGATGGTCTTTCTCCCAAATGTGAAGTAAGATGCTAGTCCTCATGACTCCAAATAAAGAACTGGTTTAAATAGCTACAGAGGAAGCTGCATTATACTGCATCAGACCAATGGTCCATCTAGTTAAGTACTGTCAGCACTGACTGGCAGTAGCTCTCCAGGGTTTCAGGCTGGGGTCTACCTCAAGATGCCAAGGATTGAACCTGCACAAAAAGAAAATGCTCTATCCTTTTGCTACGTCCCTTCCTATACTTCCTCATGCAATGTGGGCATGGTGGCACTTCTGAGCCAAACAGGCTATTTGCAGATCTTGGGGGACTGAGGAAATGCTTGGATCTTGCTGCCCTCTGGAGAAAGGAACAGCCACAGCTACCTCATCTTCTGCTTCGCAGGTGTGTCAACAGGTTGTTCTGTGGGTTGTTGGAAGCTGGCCACTCTGCTCACAGCCATGTTCCCATCCCCTTTGGCAGGACCCTGAGTTCATAGCGTGGGTTGCCGGAGCCCGGGACAAGCAAGTTGCCAATGCCACCAGAGTTCTCCCTCTACTGGAGCCAAGCAAGTCCACACTACGCCATCTGCCCACCCTCACGGGGGGAGCTCAGCCGCCTGATGAGGCCCTTAATGGGCGAATCCTCCCGATGCCTGCAGAGAGGAGCACTGGGCTGGGTTGCACTGGGGTCGCCCCTTGACCACCTCCCTCCATCTGTGCCTGTTCACCTGGGCTGTTTTGCCACCTTCACTGGAGTGGGGATCCCTGCAGAAGCCAGCACCTGTGGTTGCACCCCTTCAGAATTTTGCCCCTGCGGCCACGGGCCCCCCTTACCATGCTACGCCACTGCCTGAATTGCCAACATTCAAATCTGGAGAAAGTTTAAGGCAGACGTTGCCAACCTGGTGCCCTCCAAGGGGTGTGGGCTACACACAGCTATGCCGAACGGGACACCCAGTCAGCGAAGGTTTCTCTGAGGGCAAAACATTCAATGACAGCCTTTGTTGCAAATCTTCCTCCTAAACAGGCAGGGCAGCTCTAAATCTTTAACGGGCACAGCACTCTGTCCCTGGGATAGCACCTTTTCTTTTTTTAAAAGTTTACCCTCAACAGATTCATACTTTGGGGTCATTCCAAGACTTTGGGTATTTCAGAGAGGGCATGAAGAATCACTGTTTCCCCTGAAGGTTTTTTGGCAGACACGGTACCAAGACTTAATGAAAAGCACTTTAGTGCCTTGGAGGGGCGGGGTGAGTTGGAAGAGTTGTGGTCTGAGGTCTTCCACAAGAGAGGGCTGGATGCTTTTGTGAATTCTCTGTCCGCACCGTTCCCAGCATGCGTACCCACATCAAACTATAATATGTTAAAAAAAAAAAGCTTTCTCACAGGTTTCCTGCGAGGCTGAGAAGGCTGGCAAATTCATTTTACAAGATTGTTGCAGGTTTTTTTAATGGACAGAATCCTAATGAATGCAACATCATCGTTCCCACGCACATCCAATTTCACCCATATCATTCAAAATTCCGTGGGGTGATTTCTTGTTCTGCACTCAGCCAGGTGAATTCTATAACGGATGCATCATATAAATTGCATTTGATTAATTGATAAATAGATTGATTAACCCTGCATAAATTTACATGTCCATGAAAACAATAGACTATTTGTTTTTAGATATGTTTCCATGTCATAGCAGAGGCATTTCCTCCTCTGTATAAAAGAAAAGAGGAGTGTTTCTTCTGTGGTGGTATCATAAGCAAACACCCCAATATTTAGGAGATTCTTAGGAAACGGACTTACTCTGAGTCAAAGCACTGATCTATCCAGCTCTGAATCATCTAAACTGACTGGAAGGTTTTCCAGGGTTTCAGAAAAGGCTCTCTACCAGCCATGCCTGGAGACTCCAAGGAATGAATCTGACCATCTGCTTGCAAGGTTTGTCCTCTGCTGTTAGGCCATTGTCCTGCATCTAAAAATAAAGAACTCCAATCTTCATGGTTCTGAATGAAAGGCTGAGTTATTCAGGTATAAAAACAAAACAAAACAAAACAAAACCCTGCCTTATATTGAGTCTTCTTAAAAAATGCACTCCTTTTTTTTGTTGTTGCTCTTTTTTGTTCATTTGCAATTTAACCTTGAATGATTCCAGAGGCGTTTGGGGTCGTACTGAAAGATGTACCCTTTCTACTAAAATATCTTTCTCTCTTCCCCCACAGCCCCTGCCCCCAAGTTTTCACTACTGAAATCAGAACTTGCGCTCCACATTGCCAGTAAAGACAGAGATAGAAACAGCAGCAGCAGCAGCAACAACAACAACAAAATCAGACAGAAAGAAACCGGAAAGAACGACCTGGAAGCAATAGATAAGGCAGCCGGCTTAACGGGGGGGGGGGAGGGGGAGAGAGACTGGCCTGGACACGGCTGCTGTGACTTCTTAAACATGACAACTTGATCTGCAGAAATCTTTTGAACATCGCCACCCGCTAAAGTCTGCATAACAGGCTAGAGGAGCTGTATCTGAAGCTGGCAACTGCAGATGGGGTCTGAGTAACCCAAAAGTCTTGAGTTTGGTATTAATCCTGGGAGGCAATGTTGCAAGATCGGCTCAGTCACATATTGACCCTAGAAGGCATGGTCAAGATTTCTCAATGGCGCCCTGCAGGGGAACAGCAACTTCATGAAGGGAGTTGGGTCAGCTCATCCATGAGGCAGGGTGAAATAGCCACCTTGGACAGAGGAAGACCCCAAGGTGGTTTTCCCCCCGGGTGCCCCACCACCTCTTCCGCTAGCCAAAAGGCACTGGGATCCGCTGATGGATCAGGCCAATGGACCATCTAGCCAACCAGATGGTCAATCAAAGCCTATCATCAGCTACTAGCCACAATGGCTATCTTTCTCAATGGCTTCTGAGTACCAGAAACGAAGAATCGCAAGCAAAGAGATGGTTATCGGCTCAGGAATCCTGCTGCCAGACTTCCCTGAGGCATCTGGTTGGCTACTGTGAAAACAGGATGCTGGACTAGTTGGACCTTGGGCCTGATCCAGCGGCCAGGGGTTTCTTGAGTTCGGTGCCACCAAGAGCAACACCCTGTGCAGTTGGGCCAGCCAGCCAGCCTCACATTCCTGACTGTGAATTCAAGGGAAGAGATGGCCAGCAGGTGGCAGATTCATCCCAAGAAACAGTGCAGCCTTTGTTTTTTTGCCAAATACTTTAGCATTTAAATTATTTATTTATTATGTTTCTATACTGCCCCTCACCTGAGGATCGCAGGGGGATTTACAATATAAAAAACACAAAAATGCGTAACATGGTAACAAACGAAAATGATATCCCCCTGCCCCACCCCAAACAGTTTAAAAGTCCATAGGTTGTTTATTAGCCAAAGGCTAATAAGAAGAGGGACGTTTTCCCCTGGAACCTAAAGATATGTCACAAAGGTGCCAGGTCCCTGGGGAGATCAGTCCACAATTGGGGAGCCACCACAGAAAAGGCCTGTTCTCGTGTTGTCACCCACGTGTTGCCACCCTCCAAGCCTCTCGCAGAGGGGGCACACGAAGAAGGGCCTCAGATGATGATTGCAGAATCTGGGTTGGTTCATATAGGGAGAGGTGGCCTTGAGTTCTTGCAGCCCTGAGCTCTCTTGGGGTGGAAGGCAAAAGCTAAGAAGAGAGGCTCGGTGTGATCCTGAGGCCATTGGAATCCTGCCACCAGAAGGATTCTGGCCCTCAGCACTGCACGTTTGTAAATCAAGAAAAATCACCGAAGAAATAGAAACAAAGATGGCAAAAATCTTCCCCACCCCCCAAAAAAACAAAGCAGCTTAGGCAAGGCCAGGATGCTCAGAACCCAAACAATTCATTCTGTGTGTGCCCAAGCAGAGGAGGACTTTTCTTTCTTTAACAGCTCCTCCTCGATGCTGCATGAAACGCCACTTCTGAAACTGCCGAAGGCTTTATGAACCTTGTCTTATTATGGTATGCAGATCTGCTGCAATTCAAAGAGCAAATAATTGCAATCTCTACTAGGTATTTATTCGCCCTGTGGGAACACCTTGGCGTTCTGACCCTCACAATGGGTTTGCTCCTTTTTTTAAAAAAAGCATGATTATTACTGCTGACGAATTGGTGCGAGCCCTGGATGCTGCTTCCTCTTGCCAAAGATGCCAGAACATTATGCAAAGTTTCTCACGCAATGCATTCTTCCGCGCTCCCTCCATTTGAAGAGGTGAATCATCCATCACTTTCTGGGGAGAGGACAGGAGGAAGTTTGTATGGAGGCCAGGTAAGTAGGCCGGATGAAGGAAAGCAGCTTGCTAGACATATAGGGCCCCTCTAGCCTGGTGTTTTCTCACAGGCAGATTCTGCAACATGCTCTTAACAACAGTAAGAGTGTATTAGCGATGGATTTATTCTGCTTCAGGTTGTTTTGATTCCCTGACGTTACTGCTTTATTGCTGTCCAGAGAGGTTATAGCACAAATGAAAAGCAGGACAAAAAAAAACCAAAACCCAGAAGAGTTGCGGTATAAAAAATTATGGGATTTCAACGGGTTACAGGATATGCACTTATTGGAACTGAATAGCACCCAAACTTTCACAAGCACAATCAGGTGCTAATGCTCCGATAGTATCACAAGCGCAAGTGACCATGAATGTGCAATTTAGAAGGATGTGTGGAAAAGTCTCATGCACACACTAGGAAGACGACTCAGAAATTTCAGGTGGTACAAAATCAGCAGTGGGGCCGACCCTACCATTAGGCAGAGTGAGGTAGCAGATGCTGGAGTGATGGCAAGGTGCTGGAGGTCAGAGCTGTATATGCCATAGAGCCTATCCTGAATTTCCTAAGCTAGCCTAATACCATCAGGGGCAGTGGAAGGCAGTGTCCAATCGCCAGTATTAACATCAGATTCAACTTCCAGTCTCATTCGTGGAATGGAGCTTCCATGTTTTCTTTTGCTGCAAACAGCAAATGTCTTAGGTTGGCTATGTGCAGCAGCTAAATTTATGATTGATTGATTGATTGATTGATTGATTGATTGCCTCAGCCACCCTGGGCAGCTTCCAACAAATATAAAAGCACAATAAAACATCAAACATTAAAAACTTCCCTACATGGCCTTCAGTAATGCGTCTTGCTTCTGTATATTTGCCTCTGTGCATGTAAAGACTATCTATTTCCAGAAAGGAGATGTATATAACTTCCTTCCTTCCTTCCTTCCTTTCTTTCTTTCTTTCTTTCTTTCTTTCTTTCTTTCTTTCTTTCTAAAAATAAAAATTGTTCCCTGCCATGGAAACAAAGTAAATGCCTTGCTCCTGTAGAAACATGTGGGGGGAAAGGATGTATTTTGAAACAAACTGAGATACGTTGACGTAAAATTCTTGACTTCCCTCGCTCTGCTAACGGACAGTCATTGAATGGTTAAGGTGGCAAATCCCTAATGTGCCATAGCATTAACCATGATTGGGGGCAGGGGGGGAGCATAATACTCTAGAAAACTAAAAGAAAGAAAGGAAGAATAGCTTTTTCTGTCCCCTACACCCTACATAAACCTGGAGATGGTGTGAGAAAATGGTAGTTTCATAGCAACATAAGGAACAAGATTTCTTAAGACTTGCAAAGACTTTGGGCGGTAAAAATGATTACTCATTTGTTGCTGTTGTTATAAGGGGTACCAGTCATCCAGTTAAAGAAATCTTCTTTGATTGATCATATGTGTTGGTTGTTAGAGGAGCTGGACATGGAGAGAGGGGTTAATTTCTTTCATGGGCACAAATCACCCCATGTATGAGACAAGCCAACAGGTATAAGGTCAGCCAAGCAAGTTGCTATGGCAACGGCCTATATAAATGATTAAGGCATGTCGGCTTATTAGTCAGTCTGTGAGTCTGTCTGTGAGTCGGAGTCTGTGTTATGTCTTGAATCGCTAGAAGCAACAGATATACTTTCTGCTTGCATATATCCGTATCTGTATCTGCAAAGCCTACAAGCTGTATGTGTATATCAACATCTGGAATGGTATTAGTGAAGCCTGATCTTCTGCAGCAGTAAACTATTTTGGACCTTATTTTGGTGCCTCTGTGTGGTGACTGGAACTTCCACTTACATGGGTATCACACTTCAGGTTCCCAACATCGAGATGATTAAGGGGCCAGTTAATTGCATCTGCATAAATTTGGTTATAGAGACAGAATAAGAGCATAGTAAGCTGTCTTACACCAAATCAGATCAGTGGTCCATCAAGTTCACAGGCTGGAGCTTTGACACAATCCACATCTACTCATAAGTAAGCCAGACGTAGTTTGAAGGGACTTGCTCCCAGGTAGGGGAGTATGGGATTACAGCCTTAATTAACTAAACACTACAGTATTCCTCCTCTTCCTCCTCCTCCTCCTCCTCCTCCTCCTCCTCCTCCTCCTCTTCCTAAGGCACCATTGCTGTACAGAGAGTAACATCATCAAAAAATTGAGAGTAATGTTTTTCGATATTTGGACATGTGCTTGTTGTAGAAATAGACACCTGTCAACAGCATTGCTCCTTTTTTTAGAAAGACATTGCTTATTATCTCAGCTCTTAACTGATGTCTTTGCTAACTTGTAATAAGAATACAATGAACCTCCAAAGGTATTACAATGAACAGTAAATGACAGCTGGGATGTTTGAATACTGTACCTGACTTTTTCCACATGCAATGAAGAGCTGGAGGCCGCTGTGCAGAACACACTTACCAGGGACTGTAAGCACCATTGAAAGCAGAAAGACTTGCATTGGATTGTGCAGCTTTTAATTTTCAATTTTCAGCTTTCCCATCTATCCTGATGAAGAGTTCTGTGTAACACAGAGGTTTGCATACTATTTTTTGAACCAGCTGGCCCAATAAGTGACTTCATTTTCATGAGGGAGAGAAATCCCATTCCAACAGGAGACATAAATTCTCAGCTGTCTGCACCTCTCCTCCCGCTGAGGGAGTGGCCAGAAATTGAATTTTCACCAAAGCTACAAATTGACTTTGGCTGTTTCATTCCTAATTCGGAGGGAGGGAAGATTCCAAAGTTTAGTGCTGGTGTGGAAATAAAACAGAAGCCTTCTTCTCCCTTTCCCGCCAAAACACATTCTGTGTGCCTCACACAAAGACACTTCTCAGACCGTTACCAGTTTTAAGTTCAACATAATGTTTTCAACCCTCCTCAGAGTAAAGGGGATATTTAACTGATAAACAGCACATATTGAGCAGAAGGGATGAGGGGCACCTGATGAGGTGGGACAACGTTGCAGAGCTACCCTAGGGAGGGGACAACCAAAGTCAGGGCTGTGTAAGGACTCTGATGGCGCCAGTCTGGATCTTCTGTGGAGACTGTTTCCCCATCCCTCCGAAAACAACATAGAAGTGATCACTTTCCCTTTCTGAGGGCGAAAAAGAAGTCAAGCTGAAAAACTATGAAAGGCTTTGAGCTCAACATTGTTGCCGGAAAGGTGGGTTACAATGGTCGAAATTATAATAATAATAATTTATTATTTGTACCCCGCCCATCTGGCTGGGTTTCCCCAGCCACTCTGGGCGGCTTCCATAGAAACCAAAAATACACTAAAATATCACACATTGAAATTGAATTAAAACAAAACAAAATGTGGTACCTGCGCAGCCCTGACCTTGTTGCTGCTTTATGTCAACACCGCATTATCCAAATAGCATACGTGGCAGCAAGAATAGTGTTGGGAGAGTGGTTTTGTGGCACTATTTCACCACGTTGTCTGCTTCTGGATGAGACCACAACTCAACGGCAAGGCACCTGCCCTGCCTCACACAGATGGTCTCAGGTTCAAATTCTAGCATGAGCACTAAATGAACCAGGCAGCAAGTGATGGGAAAGATCCTGAGAAGACTGTTGTCATTCAGAGTCAACAGTACTAGGTTCGAAGGACAAATAGGCTGGCCTTGTATGAAGGATGAATTAATATTTCTGGCCTGGACAATGTTTGTTTTAAACCCACAATTCTGTATCGTTTCCAAATTTATTTCACATTTTAAAATTCCTCTAATAAGAGAATATCAGTGTGCAGGTAAGTGCACATTTCCTCTCTAAATATGTATCTGGAGGTGTGTTTTCTCTCTGCGCACAAAACCGGGAAGTAAAAATCCAGAAACGTTTGAAGGCAGAGCAGCAGATCATCATCATCATCTTGCAGTCGCCAAAGGGGATGCCTGAAAAGCTAATGGGTGGGGTTAGACCCCCTCTGCCCCCCTGTAAATGGAGCACCAGGAGACAGCCTGCTCTAGGCCTGCTACAGAGCCCTGCCTGGGAGCGGGATAAAGCCCCATTCAATGTGGTATGTGCTCCCAGCACCTGTGTGAAACATGAAACAGTATTTGAGGTTCAGGAGACGACACAGTTGCTGCACACAAACGCCTTGCCAGCATGAGTAAGCCAGGGCACGTTGCCATTTCAAGCTGCTTCCGGCCAGCGGCTGTTTTGTGTGATGTCAAGTGGACAACGAACCATTGGCTCTGAACGCACAATGTGAGCAGCAGCCTAGCCAATTCCAAAGTGTACCAGCCTGTCTCATCTCTCGCACCATATTCTCTGCCAAACATCGGATAAACCCCTGATGCATTTGAGGGGAGCCAGTGTTCCTTTCATGGGAGAGAAGAGCAAACTTTTAGCTCCTGTTCCATCAAACATTTTTTCCCTTTTCTTTTTTAAATGAGCGTTGCAGAGAGGTTACAGGCCTGTGTTTGTGGGGTGGGGAGACGTTCTGTTTAGCATTCTACCTCAGGGCTTATCTTATCGCTGTGTTTACAGCATAGAAATGGATGACTGACCGTCAGCTGCCAGAAAAGAAGAAGAAGAAGCATGGACTGCTTTGTGCTGCTGCAGATAACATGCCCTTTGCAAACTTCCTCCTTTCCAAAGTGCACTAGAAGAGTCCAAACTGAACTACAGCCATCATTTCAACACTATTGATGATATATACAGTATCTCATCCAGGATTCAAAGGCCTTCCTAAAGCAGGAATGGGGGGAAATTTGTCCATTTGGCATTTTAATACAAACCTAACCAGCAGTTTAATTCCAGAACCAAAATGGAGCTATTGGCCAGGGGTGCCAACTTGAATAAAATATTGTGCATATTATTTGGTGCATGGTATTATTTGTCTCGAGTCTTCTTTTTGGCCTGATGGGAATTCACCCTTCTTGGGGTGTGGGGTTGTGGTGCCAGTTCTCCAAGCCCAAACCATGTACAAAACAGGCATATATAATCTATTTTCATTCCACTTGAAATCATTTCCTATAAAAAATACTGATGTTATTAAAAGCTGCTATGACAATTCCATATATACTAAAGCAATTTCATATTTTAACAAAAGATTTCAAATCCAATAAAGATGCAGACAGGGAATAAAGGTGGTACACAAACAGGTGTGTATTTCTGAAAATAATGTACAGATTCTATATGGGAATTTAGCTTGTGAAAATGCACATATTCAGGGGGGAAGTATGTCAAAGTGCACGTGAATTTTAATGTGCAAGAGAAGAAAGTTGGCAAATTGGGGCAAACTGAGTTTAAGATTGGCAAAGGAGAAATGGAAGCAGACAAATTTATCCACCCCAAACCCTAAAGGGTGCCTGGGATGAGCTTTTGAGTTTTCTCTTTGAACAGGACCTCCCACGCACCATAACACACACAGATTTTGCATTTCCTCTGACTTTCTAAAGAGGCTTTTTGTGGGGGCACAAAGGAAAAAACCCATACACCATCTCTAAGAAAATGTCGCAGTTTGGGAGAGTAGCCTCACATGCACAAAAATTCCTTTTCATCCATCTCTGATCTGTTTGGGATATGAAATTTGGTGCTTGGTATTAGATAGATATTTTGAATTCTGGTGCTGGAGGAGACTCTTGAGAGTCCCATGGACTGCAAGAAGATCAAACCTATCCATTCTGAAGGAAATCAGCCCTGAGTGCTCACTGGAAGGACAGATTGTGAAGCTGAGGCTCCAATACTTTGGCCACCTCATGAGAAGAGAAGACTTCCTGGAAAAGACCCTGATGTTGGGAAAGATGGAGGGCACAAGGAGAAGACTGACCAATTAAAAGATTTGCTTCACTACAGAAAATGGTGCCAGTGCCAGACCTGAGTCGGGGGTGGGGGACTTTGGTAATATGGCACCTTGAGCGAGGACAAAATTTGGGGGGCCCTCCAATATTTCTTATTTTTACAGTAATTCATTTTTGTTCAGTTGCTTTTTTATGAATCTTCTCAATAGGTACTGTATAAATAAAGATATTATTATTATTATTATTATTATTAGCCCTCTCGGATTGGTACCCTGTGTGAAGGAACCGCCTCTGCCATCCTAAATCCAGTGTTTAATAATAATAATAATAATAATAATAATTTATTTATACCCCGCCCATCTGACTGGGCTGCCCCAGCCACTCTGGGCAGCTCCCAATTAAATATTAAAAATAAATACAGAATTAAACATTAAAAACTTCCCTAAACAGGGCTGCCTTCAGATGTCTTCTAAAAGTAGGATAGTTGCTTATTTCCTTGACGTCTGATGGGAGGCGTTCCACAGGGCAGGCGCCACTACCAAGAAGGCCCTCTGCCTGGTTCCCTGTAACTTCACTTCTCACAGTGAGGGAACTGCCAGAAGGCACTCGGAGCTGGACCTCAGTGTCTGGGCTGAACGATGGGGATGGAGACGCTCCTTCAGGTATACAGGACCGAGGCCGTTTCGGGCTTTCAAGGTCAGCACCAACACTTTGAATTGTTCCCTGAGTGGACTCACAGCTTGGAGCTGCAACAACCTGAACCATTGCTTGGCATTGCTTCACCCCAACACACCTTGTGTTGCATCTACTGAAGAATGTGTCTACTGCCGCCAGTCACCCACCTCCCCTCCCTGGGCATGTCTTTTCACTGGTGGCACTTTGGAATGGACCCCGTCAATGGCTGTCAACCACCATTTTGCAACAACAAACATGGAATGCCCAGTGTCAACACCCCCAGGGCCTCTTTCAAATGCTACTCCTACTCTAAGGAGACTCATAGACATTCTTGGTCATGACTAATTTAAGCTCATTAATTTAGGTGGGTTTACTCTAAGCAGAACTTATAAGCCCCAAGGCTTATATTTCACTAATATGCACATTTATGTACTCTTTTTTACCTCAATATATTAATTTCTGTACAAGTAATGTAGCTGGAGAACTGCGCTGCAGAATTCAGAGAAGCACAGATTTTGAAAGACGGCTGTGTTTTGGTTCGGAAAGTGAGAATTTGGTAGGTTCACTTTTAAATGCAAACTGAATTGAATTTTTCCTTTAGACCACCTCCAGAAAGAAGGTGCTCTTATGCTCATCTCCTGCCCATGGGCTTTGTATTTCAGGCATCTGGTCAGCCGCTGTCAAAAACAGGCTACTGGTCTAGATAGGCCTTTGGTCTGCTCCAGCAGCCAAGCTGCCCTGATGTTCTAAAAACAAGACTTCACTGAAACAGCTGGGGCTGTTTCATCTGTCAGTCTTTCTCCACTTTAAAGCGGCATTTTTGATTTTAAAATGACTAACCGTGCTCTGACCCTTATAGGAAATGTTATATTTTCACATGCATGAACCCGAAAGGAATCGGTCGTCTTTGTCCGATGAGGCATGACATTCTTACAGGTGCTTCCTCCCAATTTCTGACATAGGGACCCCAGGGACTTCAGATTCTTGTAAAGAAACTGGAGTGGGGGTGCACACATGAGCACCAGCCACCTTTCTTGAGAATCGTTACTGAGACAAGTCCTTCATTTGGTGTAAATAAATGAGGAGAACCGCCAACTGGTTTTAGCAGAGAATTTAAAGTATCCTGGAAGCTACCTTAAAACAGACTCAATCTCCAGGGTCAGATTTTGTCCTCTGCCTGGCAGGGTCTCAGGCAAGGTCCTGTTGCCTGGTCCTTTTTGACTGGAATCACCAAGGTTTGAACTGATGCACTCAAAGGAGCAGCCACTTCTGAGTTGCAGCTCTTCACCCAAATCCTCTAGCTCACATCAGAATATGAGCAGAAGGGCTCCTCATGACTCACCCGGCTAATTTCCACTGGTTGTGAGCAGGCACTCACAAGGTTATCTAAGTGATGGGTTCAGTCAGAGGGCCACATTCCCTTCTGGGCAAGCTTCCAAGGGCCACATCTGACTGGTGGGTGGAGCCAGAGGCAAAAGTGGGTGGAGCGACCTATGTAAATTTTAGTCTTGTACTACAGACTAGTTTTGACACTATCCTCCATTCAGACAAGCAAAATGCTTTATCAGAGTTCAAGGATACTCTCCAGTCAGGCAAAAAGCACTCAGACTGCACAGCAGGACCTTGCCTAGGGAAAGTAGGTGTGGCCAGGGAGCATTCCGAGGGCCAGGCAGAGAGGTCCAGAGGGCCACATTTAGTTCCTGGGTCTGAAGTTCCCCAAAAAAAGGTCTACTGGCCTTAAGAATCCTACAACAGTGCCTTCCTCCCATAAATAACAGCTTACTTTATTAGGCTGAAAATATGATGTTCTTTGTGGGGTGATTGTTGTTGTTTTTAACGCTCAGATAAGAAATTTGTGTCGTTTGTGCCCAACATCTTTCACATTACAGTAACTTTGGAGGAACTGTATGTTGTGGTGAAGAACAGCACTGTGCAAAAGGGAGGGATTTTTTTTTTTAAGTGCTTGTGGTTAGAGGATGTGACATCGTCACGCCGTTCAGCGGGAACCTGGTCTTTAAAAAAAAAGCTGAAAGGAACATCTTGACGGCCTGTTATCACATCAAGGTGCAAAGAGCAGCTAATAAGCCCAAGAGGGGTGGAAAGGACCCCCTCCTGCCCCAGAATATGCACTGGCAAAAATGTGAGTTCTGGACTCTTCTTTTTTTAAAATAATAATAATAACTAGAATGCAAAGATAGGCTCTGGGAGTAAACCCTACTGAATTCAATAGGACGCATTGCTGAGTAGACATTGTTAGGATTGCACTGTTGAACAGTACTGTAGCAAAACTATAGAGGAAGAACTGCTAATTTTAATTATCCTTTTGGATTTTCCAAAGTGCTTCTCAGTTTTTATTGTATTGGAACCGTTCTGAGGTAGGTCTTTATTCTTATTCACATATTGCAGCTGGGGGGGGGCGACTGAGGCTGAGAGTTTGTGACTTAAGCAGAGATGGCCCTGGAGCTCTTCCAGATTAAATCATTCACAGCATAAAAAGAAGAAGGTGTCAGGCTGAAGTCTTTTCCTCTTGCCCTCTGGCATATTTGGAACAAGCAGTGCTTACCGGGTGATAAATGGTGAGCACTTTGCATACGCTCAGATGAACACTGCTCTCTAGAACTACCTTGCAACGTTTTGTCATTGAATCCTGGCCGGCAACCAACAGAATAGAATTAACTCTTCTTACTCTTTTAACTCTCACCTTGGTACCGTTCAGCTTTGCTTCAAGTGCGCCTGCTAAGAATCCACAGATCTGAGGCTGACAGATCTGTGACAATGCCTTCAGAGAAGACGTTTGGCTTTTGTGTACTGGAAAGGCAAATTATCTGAACCATCACTTGTTTTCTGGCACACATACAAATTCACGGTGCGATTTAAAGCACAATCCTGCATAGGTTTACTTAGAAGCCAGTCCTGCTAAGTTGTTTTTGTTGTTGTTTAGTCGTTTAGTCATGTCCGACTCTTCGTGACCCCCATGGACCAGAGCACACCAGGCACTCCTGTCTTCCACTGCCTCCCACAGTTTGGTCAACCTCATGTTAGTAGCTTCGAGAACACTGTCCAACCATCTCGTCCTCTGTTGTCCCCTTCTCCTTGTGCCCTCCATCTTTCCCAACATCAGGGTCTTTTCCAGGGAGTCTTCTCTTCTCATGAGGTGGCCAAAGTATTGGAGTCTCAGCTTCAGGATCTGTCCTTCCGGTGAGCACTCAGGGCTGATTTCCTTAAGAATGGATAGGTTTGATCTTCTTGCAGTCCATGGGACTCTCAACAGTCTCCTCCAGCACCATTAGGGCTTCATAATTGACTACTCTGAGAACAACATGCTGAACTAGAGGGGACTTTGGTCTGATCCAACAGGGCTCTTCTTAGATCATTACGTTCGTAACATTCTTTCATCCTCCATCTCTGTAAAACGGTGCTTTAACTTCACCACTATCCTTGGAAGCCTTAGGTAAGTTACAGTGGTACCTCAGGTTACAGACTCTTCAGGTTACAGACTTCGCTAACCCAGAAATAGTACCTCGGGTTAAGAACTTTGCTTCAGGATGAGAACAGAAACTGTGCTCCGGCGGCGCGGCAGCAGCGGGAGGCCCCATTAGCTAAAGTGGTGCTTCAGGTTAAGAACAGTTTCAGGTTAAGAACGGACCTCCGGAACGAATTAAGTACTTAACCCGAGGTACCACTGTATTTATTCTTAGCCTCAGTTCCTCACATGAGAAATGGGAACCCTCTGTATGCTCCTAATGGAAAGCTTGCTCGGCTGCAGGCAGATAACACGATGTTATGACATTTCCTGGGATTCCACGTACCTTGGTTTTTAGAGAATAACAGTGCCGTCCTTTACTGCAGGGGTTGACAGGCTTCAGGCTTGCAAGACCTGCCGTATTTATGCAAATCTAATGTGCCATCGAATCTAATGTGCACCCTAATTTTCTTCAGTGTAAACAACAACAACAAAAGCAAGACCTGAGTGCAACAGCAACACGCCCCAACTGTGAATCCCACCAACTGCTATTCAGAGACATGTTGCCTCTGACAGAGCAAGTAGAGTATAGACAGCAGGCTAGTAGCCAGGAGTAGCCTTCTTCACCAGGAGTTTATGCAACCTTCTTTTAAAGCCATCCAAGTTGGTGGCTGTAACTGCAGGCAGTGGGAGCAAATGTCATGGGTTAACTATGCACTATGTGAGATAACACCTGCTTTGGTCTGTCCTGAACCTTCCAACATTCAGCTTCTTTGAGAGAGGGATAAAGACTGTCCGCTTTCTCTAGACAATGCATAATATCATTTACCTCTGTCACGTCCCTTTTTTACTCACCTTTATTGGCGAGTCGATTTACTTTCTGTGGAGCAAGCAAATTTCCAGCATGTATAATGCAGAGAGAATATTTCCAATGCTTTTGTCAGATTAGTCACCATGAATCAAATGTCACTGAATGATTCACAATTGCAGCAATGCTATTTTTTTTTTAAATGACAACAGTGGTTGCCAACCAAACAATTTCCATTTTAGAAAGTGAATCTTATCTTTTGCATCTGCCTTCAAAAAATGTCAAATAATCAGCAAAGAGTTAAGGGGAATGGCATCGATCAGGCCACTGGCAGCTGCTGTTGGGCTATTGCATTTGAGCATGTGCAGAATGCCTGTTAACACAGAGCAACTACAGGGTACCCAACCACCTTTATTTCTTTCACTCCTTCTTTTCTATATAGCATAAATTCAAAGTGGCTGACAAATCAGAAAAAGCAGGTAAAAGTACAGTATGTACATCCATCAACAGGGACAGACGAAGCTTTCAGCTTTGGTTCTCTCTGTTTCTTACTTTCCCAAATCTTAAGCACAGTTCTCCTCATTTCTGTTCGTTTATTATGTTTATTTATTTTTAAAGTTCTCATGAAATTTAAGTGCCATTTAAGTGCACATTTTGCCTATTAAACTCATGTTTGTATGCAATTCTCCTTTAATAAATGTTACTTTTGTTATTTTTCACTAATATATGCCTTTATAGGCACGTCTTATATCAGGGATGCCATATTTCTAAAAGTGAAAATCCAGATGCAAAAGTTGTTTAGCTTTTTATGGCAAAATCTCAATAATAATAATGATGATGATGAAGAAGAAGTTTTTGAGCTATTTTTAAGGAAATTCGCCAAAATCTACACTTCTGACATGGGTTGCCATTCGACTGAATTTTCTCAGATATTTCAGTGATTTCTGCCCGGACACAGTTTCCAACAGCCGAATCCCGGCTATGTCCTGGAAATTCCAGGTGTATGGCAGCCCTATCTTATACAAATACATTCTGGAGAACTTCGCTGCAAAATTCGGAGAAGTGTGAATTTCAAAGGATAGTGGTGTTTTGGTCCGTGCATTGTTTTGAAAAGTATGAATTAGGCTATCTGAATTTCTCCTCCATCCCAATTGGAACTGGAGGCTGCTACTCCATTTGGTTCTTTGTTACCGCAAATGCTTTTTTAAAAAATGAACCTTTAACCAGCCACATTCTGGCTGTGAACCAACACACACTTTGAAGTGCTTTCTTATTTTGGGCATTTGTGGAAATGCCCAACAGACCACTAACAGTTAATTTATGGAATATGCTGCCACAAGATGGCCACTGGCTTAGGGAGATTTTAAAAAGAATTAAACAAATTCATGGAGTAAATGGTCCTATCAAAGGACACAAAATAGAACCCCAGGTTCAAAGGCAGTGTCCCTCTGTGTTATGTACTGAAGTTCTCACCCTGGGCCAGCAGGGGGGATACTGTAGATAGTTTTCACTCAGGTCCACATATGCAAATAAGGGATTGAAAGTGACGTTCAGTGATTGGACAGTTACAGAAAGTGGTTACTGTTGCATTGTAGTGGAGCTCTATATAAGCAGGGTGGCTGAACCCTTCAGTTCAGTTCTGTTCTGGCCTGTGAATAAACAAGAGCTATTTGAAGAATCACTGTGTTGTCTGATATGTTCACCCACAACTTAACACTGTGAGTACCAGGTGCTGGGGACAAACAGTGGGGGGGGGGGTTTCTGTCCTTCACACCCTGGTTTGGGGCTTTCCCAGAAGCATCTTGTTGGTGACTGCTGGGGAAAGGATGCAGGACCACGGATCCATTTAGCCCAGTTCTTAAACTGCCACTGTGCAAATGAGTCCCCTTGGAAATTCAGGACACCAAATACTTGGACATCCCGAGCACAGCCAGTTGAAATGAAAAGGTGGAAGTCAAATGTTTATCCTTCACTGATTCTGCAGCAGGTGAGGGTTAAGAACCCAGCTCTGAGAGTTCTTGAGAAGTGAGACTGAAAGATGAAACCGTCATGTGTGATGTGTTCCATCATGTGCGCCTCCGTTCAGGCGAAGCCACCTTGGGAAAAGTTGGTGGGGGAAACAAACTTCATTGAGGCTTCATAAACCAGCTGCTTGACTGCCATCAACATCAGCAGTGTTCTTAATAGATTTCCCCACCTTGAAATGTAAAATGCAGCTAAGGATGGGCAAATCTGTCAATTTCGGCTTCTCCCAGTTTATATGCAATATTGCCTACCATGCACAGTTTTGCAAATCAATTTCCCCCAATATAAGGAATCTTTGCATGTTCTTTTCACTAACATATGCAGACTTTACCCTAGTACGTGCATTTTTGAACGCGTTGCTTGGCTGGAGAACTGCACTGCAAAATTCAGAGAAGGTTGAATTTCGAAAGACAGCTGTGTTTCGATTCACGTACCACTTCAGAAAGCATAGATTTGGTGTGTTTGCCTTTAAATGGTGAACTGAACCAAATTTCTGCCCCATATCTAATTGTAGCACAGGGGGTGGCTATGCTCTGCCTTCACGGTCAGATCCAGTAATGCTTCTGAATACCAGCTGCTAGAAGGAGCGTCTCCACCCCCATCATTCAGCCCGGACACTGAGGTCCAAGCTCTGGTGGTTCCCTCAATGCGAGAAGCTAAGTTACAGGGAACCAGGCAGAGGGCCTTCTCGGTAGTGGCGCCTGCCCTGTGGAAGGCCTCCCATCAGATGTCAAAGAAATAAACAACTATCTGACTTTTAGAAGACATCTGAAGGCAGCCCTGTTTAGGGAAGCTTTTAATATTTGATGAATTGTTGCATTTTAATATTTTGCTGGAAGCCGCCCAGAGTGGCTGGGGAAACCCAGCCAGATGGGCAGGGTACAAATAATAAATTGTTATTGTTGTTATTATAGAGAGAGTTCTCTTGTGCTCAGGTCCTGCTTGCAATTTTCCCACAGGTTGGCCATTGTGAGAACAGGGTGCTGGGCTAGATGGGCCATTGGCCTGATCTGGTAGGCTCTTCATACACTCTTATGATTGGTAGCAGAGAGAGCCCAGCATGAAACGTGACATTTTCTCACTTCATGTGTATTTGCCATTGTGCTGGAGGTCCGAGTCCAGTCCAAGGAGGTATGGAGGCTGTCCGTCAAAGCTGAAGCAGGGTCCAAGGCAGGGAGTCGGGTGAGGTCAGGAACTCTGGCAGAAGAGCAAGGCAGGGTGCAGGAAGGAACAGGCAACCAACAATGTTGCTCCCGCAACCTGGGACTGGGGCTGGCTGGCTTTTATCTGTCCTGAGGCATAGGGCGGCCCCGGTCCACAGGTGACTCGCCTCTCCTGGCCTTAGTTCCCTCCACCTCTCTGCCCTGAGCCTCTGCAGCTCAGGAGAGGCTAGAGGGTTACCGGACCCAGAGGCAACCTCAGCTTCCCCTGACGGGGCTGAGAGTGGAGCACCTGCAGGCAATGGGTCCTCCATCACCTCAGGAGCCAGAGCAGACTCAGCTGGTGCCTGCACCTGAGGATCCAGCACAGGTGAGGACCCTTCAGGCTCAAGCCCCAGCCCCGGCTCAGCTGGTTCTGGAGGCGGGGAATCCTGTGCAGGCTGGGATTCCTCAGGTTCAGCCTCTGAGTCCGAATCCCAGGCCATCCCAGCCATCATGGCAGAGTGACCAAACCATGTAATGCCTGGAGCGGAGATTGGCATCCTCTGGATCCCAACTTCCTTCTCCTTATTTTTAAAACTGTAGCTTAAACCAGGATAAGATCATATCATGGACCAGAGACCTCTTGGTCCTGGAAGTATGTCATGTGATCCTGGAGAGCCAATCTCAGGTCACGGCCCACTATATTGCATCAGTGACTCGCATTCCCTCAGAGCGGCATATCTTTGTTGGAGAGGGACACAGCTATACTTCTTGGCTGCCGCCCAACCCCTTGTTGCCTCCCAAACCTGCCTCTTCATCATTTCCCTGGCCAGGAACCTCAAGTCCAGGAACTGTGATGCTGTCTTAACATGTCTAGGATATACATATAAGCAAAGACCCTGCTTTAAGAGATACCTTTCCCATTTAGGCCAATCTTGTCACAAAACCAGAAGTTGCAATCTATTGAGGCAGTTCACCTGTCCATCTAGCTCAGTGTTGCTTACACTGACTGGCAGCAGCTCTCTAAGGTTTTGGACAGGGAATCTCTCCCAGCCCTACCTGGAGATGTCAGGGACTGAAGCGGGGACTTCTGCCATTGAGGTATTAGCCTTCTACAAAGGCAAGTATCTTTGCATACTCAGCCAGACAATGGCTCTCTAGGATCTACAGCAGAGGGCTTTCCCATTATCTGTTACCTGGTCCTTAAGACTGGAGATGCCAGGGATTGAATCTGGGACCTTCTGGCAGACAAATCCGATTCAGTTAATATTTAATTTGCACTTTCTGAAACAGTGCGAGAACCAAAATGCAGCCGCCTTTCGGCATTTGCACACCAGATTTTGCAGTGCAGTCCTCTAACCAAGCGATGTGTACAAAAACGCACAAGCTAAGGAACTGCATGCCTTAAAAAGTGCATAAATGAAAATAGCATCCATAAATGCAGTATGTTAGAGGAAGCTGTTTTGCAAAAAATATGCATATCAGGCATAATTGCACAGAAAAGAAAGTGTCTATTATGAAAAAATTGCACAGAAATGAATCACAACTGATGTGGAAATGTGAAGAATTGAAGACTGGAAGAAACAAAAATTGACAAGATTCACCCATCCCTACCACTGAGAGAGCTATCATTCCCTCTGTGCAAGCACCATCATGGCTGGACTCCTCAGTATCCAGGAGACTGCAACCTTTCCGGTTGTTGCAACCTAACCATTCTAGCACTCAGAGCTAAGCACTGGACATAGGCCACTACTGCTTTGTCTTGGTGGGGTTTTTCTCTTCTGCCACATGCGCCAATAAGGCCCGTGCAAAACGCTTTTCCACGTGCTCTGTCAGCCATATACTCAGAATTCGCCTGTGCTATAACCAGCTCTACTTTTGCTCAAGGGCTTTTGATCACTGAGTAAACACTCCCAGCCTGGTGTTTGCTTAATATCTTTGCGCAGGGTTAAATGTTTATTGAAACATCCTGACCCAGATGTGACCAGAGATGGGGAGGGCGCGGGGGGGGGGGTTGGATCCATTCCTTGCCAGCTTTAAGTGACAGCTTTGCTCCAGAAAATCAAATGCCACCCTGGGAAAAAGCTAGACCCGTGTCAGTTTCAGAAGGGAGCCTGGAGGAGTCTCTCCAACAAACAGGCCTCAACATGCACCAAGGGTGGGTGGGTGAGCGTTGCTGGATAATTGACACTGTTGGGGGATCGTGGTGACACACACAGCGTCAAATTGAGGCCACAAGCTCACTGACAGGGCGATGGGAGCAACTGACAGTCAGGAAAACAAGGGTTGTCTTCTGCGTGTTGACCCAGCACTGAGCTGACAACCGCAGTAGGAAGCAGAAGGCATTCCCACAGGCCAGCTACCTCTTACACAGCTGCGCAGCAGCCAAGGAAGAAAAAGGTACTCTTGGGGTCACAGAGAGATCCCTCTTCAGGACCCCTTCCAAGGTAGTGCCGTTTTTTGGTGCTCCTTTTGAGATTCTGAGGGCTGCAGGGACAAACATGGCAGCATAGCTATTTGAGGGCAGTGGGGGGGGGCACGGCTGTGTGGCTTCCATATTATTGTCCATGCAAACTGTCAAGTTCACGGTGATGGCAAAGTAGAACCTCCATGTTCAGGGGCAGCCGGCGCCACTTACTACTGGTTGCTGGGGGGGGGGAGGCAAGCAATGGAAGAGGGCTGTTGACTTCAAGTCCCAGGATGCATCTGGCTCTTCTTGTGTCCCCACTTTCCCACCAACTCAGGAGAATCACAGAGCATGGAGTCGTAGCAAGCATATACAGTGGTACCTCGGGTTACAGACGCTTCAGGTTACAGACTCCGCTAACCCAGAAATATTACCTCGGGTTAAGAACTTTGCTTCAGGATGAGAACAGAAATTGTGCTCCGGTGGCGCGGCGGCAGCAGGAGGCCCCATTAGATAAAGTGGTACTTCAGGTTAAGAACAGTTTCAGGTTAAGAACGGACCTCCAGAACAAATTAAGTTCTTAACCCGAGGTACCACTGTTCCGTATTTTTCCATGTGTAAGACTAGGTTTGTTTCCTAAAAAATAATGTCAAAAATTAGAGGGTGTCTTATACACTGATACATCCCCCCCTCATTTTCTTGAATCTGAGTCCCCCAAAATAGGGGGCGTCTTATACATGGGGGCGTCTTATAGACGGAAAAATACGGCACTTACTAGAGTCAAAGACATCCTCTGGGACTGCAGAGTCCTAGGCCGACTTTTTGTGTGGCATCTCTCTCTCTCTTGATGGTAATGTGTAATATTAATTCACCTAGTTCAACAGGTTGCAGAGCCCATCATACTGCATTTGGGCCCCTCATCTCTGCTCATTATGCTGAGTAGGACCCTGAATGTCTGCCCCCAAGTCTTACCCTGATGGCACAGGAAGGTGTGGAGAGGGCATTGATGTGGCAACATCCTTGTGAACACAGGAGCCAAAGTAGCTCAGCTGGGAGAGCATTAGACTACAAATCTGAAGGCCCCCTGGTTTGATCCCAGGCAATTTTGCTTGGCAGGGCCCTCCTTGATGCGAATGGGCTATCTTTCAGTGACACACTTTAGGTGTCAAAGGCCCTGCATTACACCCCTGGCATCTCAAGTTAAAAGAGTTGGGGGCAGCAGGTAGACATGGGGATCAATTAGGTTTGGTCCACATTTTAATGCACGCATGCTTAACGCACACTTTCTGGAAGAATACGTGAAGGAAAGCAGTCATTCTTTGAAATTCACGCTTCTCCAAAATTTGCACCGCAGTTCTGCAGCCAAATAATGTGTACAAAAATGCATATACCAGAGTAATGTGTGCTTATTAATGCATTTAATTAGTGAAAATATAATACGCAGAATGCATATTAGGAAAACAGCTAGCAAACATGTTTCTAGTAGGTAACGTTACATATGAAGATGTGTGTATTAGGAGAGATTTGCACTAAAATGCTTACAAATTTAAAAAATAAATACCGTATTTTTGCTCTATAAGACTCACTTTTTCCCTCCCAAAAAGTAAGGGGAAATGTGTGTGCGTCTTATGGAGCAAATACAGGCTGTGCAGCTATCCCAGAAGCCAGAACAGCAAGAGGGATTGCTGCGCAGTGATCCCTCTTGCTGTTCTGGCTTCTGAGATTCAGAATATTGTTTTTTCTTGTTTTCCTCCTCCAAAAACTAGGTGCGTCTTATGATCTGGTGCATCTTATAGAGCGAAAAATATGGTAGACCACAAGCCCAATGCAGGCTTCATCCACACCGTAAGTACATTTAAAGCACATTGCTCCCCCCCCAAAAAAAAATCCTGGAAACTGTAATTTGTTAAAAGTGCTGGCAATTATAGCCATGTGATGGGGTAAACTCTAGTTCCCAGGATTCAAGGGAGCACTTTAAAAGTGTGCTATGGGTGTGACTGAAGACTGGAAAACTGGAAAGCTGAAAGAAGATGAACTTAACAGGGTATTGGAAAGAGCCCCTGCCTGAGAGCCCGGAAAGCTGCTACCAGTCAGAGTACTAGGCTCGATGGGTAAATAACCTGTCATGCAGACTGGCAATTAGTTATTTTTCCCCCTTGCTAATATGAAATATATTACCGTTTCCCTCCCACACTCAAAACCATCTAAAATAGCATTTCAAAGCAGAGGTTGTTCTAACTTCAGATGTCCTCCTTTGCCTCCTCAACTCAGCCACCTGCTCTGAGATTACCTACCCAAAATAGTCCCAGCTGTGATCTTGTCTGATCAGCTTCGGCTTCCAGTTAGTCTCTCCAAGAGGAAGGCAGATAGAGCAGCTCAACAGCTTCTTCCTCAATCTGCTAGCTTTATGGTTTCCTCCTTGAATTCATGTCTACCAGATATTCCCCTTTTTTGCCCTCATTGCTTCCTCTTGCACTTGCTTCCAGCATGTATGGTTCAGCTGGACGTCTTGATTCCCAGACCCGGTTTCTTCTGGCTCCCAATTTCTTTCCATCCTGTGGTCCTCCAGATCCCAGCCTGCTTACCTCTTTTACTTTCTGTTCCTGGTGCCAAGTCCCTGTCCTTATCCTCCTTCCCCAGATCAACATGAAGCCCAGACTCAATCAGGCTCATTCTCCCCACCCTAAGTGCATATAAATAGGGCCGGTCCTACCATTAGCCAGACTGAGAAAGCTTCCTCGAGCAGCTGGTTCTGGGAAATGGGGAATGATACTGAGATGCTGGAGGAGGACAGAGCCATATGGGCCAATAATAAATTATTATTATTGGAAATTTTTAATGTCTGACGCTGTCTTGTTTTTAATATTTGGTTGGAAGCCGCCCAGAGTGGCTGGGGGAAACCAGCCAGATGGGTAGCGTATAAATAATAAATTATTATTATTATTATTATTATTATTATTATTATTATTATTACATGGCCTGCACATGCTCTGCATACCCCTCAATGAGCCTGCTGCTCTCAGCAGGAAGACATTGGGCTCATCCACACTTAGTTTTTGCCCCATGCTTCCTAGGCACAAGTCTGCACTTTAAAGCAATTTTCTTCCTCCTGGCCAGTGTGGTGTAGTGGTTAGGAGCAATGGACCCTATGGAGAAGGGAGAGGAGAGAGAAAAGGAGGCATCTAAGGAAAAGAAATCAATAATAATTAAGGCTCCAGGCTTCATTTATTGATTCTCTTTATATTCCACCAGAGAACCAGTGTGGTGTAGTGGTTAAGAGCGGTAGACTTGTAATCTGGTGAACCGGGTTCGCTTCCCCGCTCCTCCACATGCAGCTGCTGGGTGACCTTGGGCTAGTCACACTTCTCTGAAGTCTCTCAGCCCCACTCACCTCACAGAGTGTTTGTTGAGGGGGAGGAAGGGAAAGGAGAATGTTAGCCACTTTGAGACTCCCTAGGGTAGTGATAAAGCGGGATATCAAATCCAAACTCTTCTTCTTCTGGCATTTCCCCCATGAAAACCCATTCTGAATCAGAACAAACAGCAATTTGAGTTTGGTCTGATTCAGTGACAAAGAGTGAGTTTTTATGGGGAAAGTACCAGGGCAAACACACACACACACAGAGGACAAGGAGTTTTAAAGTGCCAGCCTGTGGCTAGAAATGCAGCAACAAAGGAAGTCTGAAGGAGACGCATTGTCCCACTGCCCCTGCTGATGTTAAGATTCAGCTGCTGGTCCAATTTGCTTCTGAATATACAATGGGAGGAAGACACCATTTTGTCCTTGACTTCTTGTAGCCAGATGTATTGGGACCCCCCCCTGCATGTAAATGAGCCTGACCGCAAAAGGATGCTTCACCTGAAACTCAGGTTTGGTGACAGGTGCTCCTTTTATGACTTTTGAAACACCATTTTCGACAGCAAACTGGCGCTTATTCCGGAGTAAATGTGCTCAGCGTTGGGGCAGCAGGTACAAACTCTGTTTTATTCCTGTAGTCATGACGGTGCTCTGATTTAAGTGAGTTTAGAAAGGGAAGAGCGTAGAAGCAAGCTGGAATGGCGGCGAGAGAAGGCAGAATAAGTGTGAACTGTGAATCACAACTGAAATATGCATGATTGTCTAAAGTCCAGGGTCTCAGTTTTGCTTCTGTGTTTGTCGAATGCTAAGGGGCTTCCGTTTACCACGCCACAGGGTAGTCTGCGCTCTGGCCTCAAATCACACATGCAAACGATTTCGCCTTCTGATACTTCCTCTTTGACTGTACAGAGGGCATAGCACAATCACTGCCTACGCTAAGATTTCATCTAAATTACAAATGCACAGTGGTTTTATACCACTTTAAGCAGTTTGGCTTCCCGCAGGGCATCCTGGGAGCTGTAGTTTGGCGAGGTGTTTTCCACAGACCTACAATTCCCAGGGTCCTGCTTTCCATAGGCATTCCATAGGCATCTTGTTGTCCATTGTAAGAACAGGACGCTTAACTAAATGAGCCGTTGGCCTGATACATCAGGGCTCTTAAGTTCCTATGGTTCTCTGGGAAGAGGAGGTGGTGGTCTGTAATGTGAGCATGCCTGTGAGTGCTGTTCAAGAAAGCCCCTGCTGTCCTGGTGTATGCACAGTGTACAGTGGTACCTCGGTTACATACACCTCAGGTTACATACACTTCAGGTTACAGACTCCGCTAACCCAGAAATATTACCTTGGGTTAAGAAATTTGCTTCAGGATGAGAACAGAAATCGTGCTCCGGCGGCGCGGCAGCAGCGGGAGGCCCCATTAGCTAAAGTGGTGCTTCAGGTTAAGAACAGTTTCAGGTTAAGAACAGACCTCCAGAACGAATTAAGTACTTAACCTGAGGTACCATTGTACATTATTGTAGTGCACAGGGAATCAGGCCTGCGTGAGTACAAAGTTTAGAATGGTTTCTCTTCTTAAAAAAATTATGTGCACACTGTGTGCCAAAGTGTGAGAAAATATTTTGTGTAATTCATTTTTTGAGATACAAGCCAAGATCCCCAACTGCCTTGAGAAGGAAACACTTTCTGAATCATAACAATTATGCTCCTTGGGGTTTGTGTTATCAAGCGAATGTTTGCTTTCCATACTTCTGCAAACAGAAAAGGATTTCCATTGTATCTCCTCAAGAGCTTATTATTTTACTGTGTGTGTGTGTGTGTGTGTGTTTGTGATTATACCAGAAATGCAAGCGGGGGGCGGGAGGAGGGAAGGAAAACAGTTGTGTGTTCTGGTTTGCGCCTCTGAATTGATAGATTTCTCACCTGCCAGAGTGTCGGAGGGGGTGGGGAAAGGCCTAGCGGAAAGTGTGCACTTTGGGGGTTGAAAGGCAACCAGTCAGCCATGCAAACCCTTGCAGGGTGACAAACTCTTTTCAGTGGAAAGTTGGCTCAGTGGACAGTCCTAGTGACTCATCTAAAAAAAGTCCTTTCCAACTAACTTTGGAGAGGTAGTGTGAGTGAAGCTTGGCAGGTTCTCAAAAGAGGGCTCAGCTCCTTTGTGATCTGAATATCCGTGACGGGCTGTTGCCAATAAACCCTTTCAAAATCCCTCAGCAAACTCTCGGGGGCTTTGGACATTTCTCCTTGGTTAACGTTGCCTTTCACTGTGGTTTTTGAAAAAACCTTGGGTGCCTCTGAAGTTTATCCAAGGTCTGAAATAGCCACTTCCTTCAATGTCGTGCCCATGAGATGTCGCTGGACTACAATTCCCACCATCCTCAAAGCATTGGCGATTCCAGCTGGGGGCATCTGATGGGAGTTGGAGCCCAACAACATCCTGGAGGGCACCAGGTTGGGGAAGGCTGGTCTGAAGATGGTACGGGAGGCAGCTGCCTTACTTTATTTATCCAATATTTACAGAGAGAGCCTCTTGGAATAATGGTGTTGTCCCGAGTAATCTCCACACACACCCTTCTCTTCCACTTCTCCTTTCATCAACAGCACCACCCCCACTACGGTTGCCACTTAGGGTCATCCGTCTCTGAGTCCTTTGGTCTCCTACTTTTAAGGTTCACCAGGTTCTGGGAGCTTGGGAATTGTAGTCCCAAACATCTGGAGGGGGGAGTTTGCCTATGCCTGCATTAAACTGTTGCAGACTAACTCTGAGGTAGACGGAAGCAGCAGAGCACAACTGTTAAGACTGTTCTATTAACTGCCATAACTGTACCAACTGAAAATAACTGCCACGGAGTGTTTGACATCATAGAGTTCTACAGCCCTTGCAATCAATTCTTTGCATATGCATTTTGGATGCTAACATCCCACAGGTATCACATTTCTGAATACATTCTCAAGCAGGCAGAGCCATTCTGACAACACCACCTCATTCTGTCGCAAGGATAGACCAGGCCAGAGTCAGAGGTCATATTTGCAATCAGTTTTCAGCATCAGTCCCAGGGAGAGAGACATGAAATAACAGGTTAAAATCGGGCAGGCGTGTTTATGAAGACTTCTGACAATTGTGGACAGTAAAATTACGGGGCACGTTATCTTTCCTCGATAACCATTAATTGCCCTTGAAGCTTGTCGGCAGGTGAGACCGTGAACGTGCTGGAGGTGAAGAATGAAATCTGGCTTGTGTTTAAATCACTTCTCTTTAAGAACAAACTAATAATAATAATAATACATGCTCCCTTCCTCAGTTCTGGAAGGCATGTGCCAACATTTCTTATCTCATGGTAAGAATCGGCCCCTGACAAGATGCAGAGCAGGGAGGAGAAAGACCTCACACCAATTTGAAGCTCCCAAAGCAAGATTCCTCCTGACTGTCTATCATTCCTATGACTGCCGTGGTGCTTGGTGCAACACACAGAACAGCGATAAGCATGTTTCTGTGGTGGAGGAAGCCAAGAGAGTGGGAAGGAGTTGCATCTCAGTTGCTTCAGGAGCCAAGGTTTTGCAGAGAGAGAGAGAGAGAGAGAGAGAGAGAGAGAGAGAGAGAGAATGTCCTCTGTCTGTGCCATCAATCTGCTTGGCATTAATTTCCCTTGTCTGTTCTTAAGGTTCTCATGATCTCAAGTCCTCTAGGACATGCTGATTTTCCTTGTAAGATTTAAATGCATTCCCCCTCTGCAATTGCACTTGCAAGTAAGACATCAGGGGTCCCTTGAGTCTGTGCCAGGTGGAAAGCTACACTCCCAGTACGCTATCTGGGAAGAGCCGACCACACAACAATTTGGTTAAATGGTGTTTATTATAAATGGGGGAAAGGATCCGTTTCCCCAAAATATAACCCCCTCCCCTACAAAGCAGTATTCTTTTCTGGAGAGATGAATCAACACTGCTGTCTCTTTTTCCTTGTCCCTGCTGATAATACAGAGTTGCCCAAGTGTTCTTCTGAGCAAGGATGGCCAAATCTGACAGTTTTTGCTTCTCCCCATTTCTCCCCCCCCCAAAAAAAAATTCAGCTCACTTTTAAACATCAGCTTGCACTTTCTTCTAAGTCCTCATGAACATTTGTCAAAATATGAGTGTGAATTTCTCCTAATAGTAATGCTTGCATGCAGTTCTGCCTAATATCCACATTTTCTGCAAGGCATTTTCTTCCTAACAGAGTGCATTTTGTATGTTATTTTCACTAATATATGCAATTGCATGCATACTGTACCCTAGCATATGCACTTTTGTGCTTGGCTGAAAAACAGCACTGAAAAATTAAGAGAAGAGGGGATTTTGAACGATGGCTGTGTCTTGGTCTCATATTGTTTCAGAAAGTACAAATTAAATGTGGTCTGAATCATATTTCTCTCCCCCCCCCATCCCTACATCCCATGCTACTCCCCGATGTTCCAAAGACGGTTCAGAGATAAATGCACAATTTGCTGGTGATTCTGTCAATGTCAACTGTAAACTTACTTAATTCTCTGGAGACGAATTCTTTAACAGAAGAGGCTATTGCCTCATACAGTGGCTCCAGAAAGATAAATGAAGAATGGAGTGGGGGGGGGCTGTGGCGGGAGACTATGTGATGATGAGCAAGTGATGTTAAGTGAAGATAAATGCTTCTGGCCCATTTCTGCAAGGTGAAAGGTACAGACGCCATCTGTGATCAACAGGACTCTGTAAGAGAATACCTTTTAAAATTTCTGCTTCACATATCTGCAGGCTGGGGAAAGGTGGCTGGCCAGAGAGAGGCACAGATTACTATTTCACAAGATTGTGGCAACATGTTTTACATATACAGAGACAGAAGTGAAATAGAGAGGCAGAGAGAGAGAATAGGCAGAGAAAATTATTTGTGATAAAGGAGCTGGACAATTTGTGACATCCAGTTGTGAGAATGCTTGGATTGCAGAGTGATGAGAGTGCAAGCATTGATTTCAAAAATTATTTGGTGGGCTAGAGCATCAGACAGAGAGCTTGCTGGTGAAGCTTATTCACTGCCATAACAGTCATGCTGTTTTAATAGAAACCTTTTTTATTATCTGTGAAATGCCAAGACATGGGTCACCCATGTTTTGGGACCTATGAGCTCATGTGTGAAACTGTTGTGAGCAGGGGTGGAAGGATTTGTCAACCTTGGTTCTCTCATTTTTCCAATTTTAAATCCAGCTTTTCCACATTTCTGCAGCAGTTTGTGGTTGGTTGGTTTTAAGCAAAATCCTCACGAAAATTATCCAGTGTGTTAGTGCTAATTTCTCCTAATATACACATTTTTGTATTCATTTTTGCCTAATACACGATTTCTTGAAAGTATATTTTCCTTAATACTTAGTTTTCCCCTAAGATAATGCATGCTTGTATGTTATTTCTTATAATATATACATCATATGCACTGTTTAATATAATAATTTGTGTACAAATCACTTGCATTGCAAAATTCGGAGGAGTGCAAATTTCAAAAGGTGGGTGTTTCCATTTGTATATTGTGAGAATTAGATTTGCCTTTAAATGCAAACTGAATTCAACTTCTCCTGCATCCCTACCCACTACCCCACTTGTTACAATTCAATTTCTTCCCTGTTTCCCCAAACAACTGGTCTTATGAAACATACTGAAGCAAAAGAGCATTAAACAACATAACAAAACAAGTTGAATAGATACATTATCTATCATGTTACGCGCCCAGATTACATTCTCAGATACTTCCTTGAGTAAGAACATTCTCACCTCTTACTTACAGTTCCCCACAAATGTCTTAATTATGGTTCCATGTGGCCCTCTCCCATAAACTCCAAATTCCTTAGTCTGCCAACATTTCCTGCAAGAGTATTTCCCCTTTCCACAATGCCCCTGAATTACTGACATTCCAACATGCCTATATCCATCTCTGTGGTGTCATAGCTTTGTTTCATCTTTGGGAAATTTTCTGTGCCTATGAAGTTGGTACTAAGTTAAAAAAAAAAGCTTGTGAGGTTGCTGAGGATTCCCCCTCTCTGCTTCCCAACCTGTGCATCTTATAATAGCTCCTGAAACTGATCTCACATATCTTCCTGTGGTGCACGTTCAGTCTTTCCCCAACCCATTCAAACACTACCATCCATACATCTGGGCAGCATTTTCCACCACCTTTGAGAATTTCCTGGTTCTTTATTCTTTTTCGTTATCTGCGCTGAACTCTGCTACATTCTTTGCAACATCATCATCTGAGGAGCCTTTTTGGTTCTGGGTTTCCTCTTCTCTCTTCCTTCACACCACCAGCAGCTTTAGTACGTTTCGGTGTCCTGTCTTGCTCATTTCCCCAGAAACATTTGTCATTACAAAGACTGGCGAGTTTTCAAATGTTGCCTTAACAACTTTTTAAATATCTTTCTCCCAGTAATCTTCCAACTTATTTCTTCTTTCCTTTTTCAGAAAAACACAACCACCTGTTTTTATTTCTGTCTTTTTTAAAATCCTGAGTTGCAATTCTGCTTTTGTTTCTCGCTCTTTATCTGTGTCTACCCTTTCTTGCTTACATAAGCTTTGCCATTTTCTGTGATGACAGTCTAGTCAATAATTGGGCATGTGGTTGTTCACTGATTTTCATCTTTCCCTAAGGAGACAATATAGGCTGGCACTCTCTCCCCAAGTCCCCACAAACTACAGTTTTGGAGAACAATACATCCATTGTTAGTAGCTCCATCTATGAAGTTCTTGAGGAAGAGCTTAGCTTAGAGCATGGGTAGGCAACCTAAGGCCCAGGGGCCGGATGCGGCCCAATCACCTTCTAAATCTGGCCCGCAGACAGTCCGGGAATCAGCGTGTTTTTACATGAGTAGAATGTGTCCTTTTATTTAAAATGCATCTCTGGGTTATTTGTGGGGCCTGCCTGGTGTTTTTACATGAGTAGAATGTGTGCTTTTATTTAAAATGCATCTCTGGGTTATTTGTGGGGCATAGGACTTCGTTTTTTAATTTTATTTTCAAAATATAGTCCGGCCCCCCACAAGGTCTGAGGGACAGTGGACTGGCCCCCTGCTGAAAAAGTTTGCTGGCCCCTGGCTCAGATGAATTTAGTTTTGAAAAGCACAAAGATCAACATAGTTTTGAAAAGATCAACCAGACATTTTAAGGGAGTGGTCTTCAGCGCCCATCTGTGAGAAACTCTCTACTTGTTCTGATGGAGCATGAAAAGAGGTGCAGCACACCCAGGAGATCATTTGCTGTGTTTGGAGAAATTGTTGTAATTGTTTCCCAACAGTAGCTACCACATATGTGCATATATTTTCATTTTACATGCAGTCTTGTTTTGTCAATTAATAAATTTCTTTTATACCAATTTCACCAGGGTGTGTTTTTTTTATGTGACTTTGTCTGTTGTTGTTTTTCCATATTTTGGGGGGCTATGGGTGGTATGCAACTAATGCATCCCATTAGTGCAAGAATTTCCACTTGTGCAATGGGTCTTCCTGCACTCTCCTCCCTGCCATGTGCCCTGCACTGTCCCCAGATCTGCTCTGGAGAATTGGAGGAATCCCTGCAGCAGATTTATGGGGGTGGGGGAGGAGAGTGGGGAAGTCCCATTGCACAAGTGGAAATCCTTGTACTGATGTGTTACTCAGCACTAATATGAATACAACCCCTTCCTCTCTGTCTCAATTTTTTTCTGGTGATGGGACCCAGTTCCTAAAGTTGTCATCACAGACTTATCAAACGGCCCGTAATTTTGATAGTTGAGGTGTTTTGTAGTGATGGGGCTTGTGTTTTACATGGTTTCCTGGGTGTACAGCCTCCCTGAGGATCCCTTTTATAGGATCCTGTCAATGACAGAGGTGTAGGACACAATTTGCCCTGGCCAGACTTTAGCCTTCCCCATATAAATGAATTCTAGTCACGAATGGTGACTGCAGGAACTAAGAACCTGGCCTCTCCTACCTGCCAGCCAAGCTTCTGTTTTGTGGCGTGCAAGAGTGTGATTCATTCATTCTCTGGCAGTGCTTGTCTGTTTATCTATCAGAAGATCACACTATTTGTGCAGTCAGGCATCAATGTTTACGGCATTTTGCAGAAGAACATAAGATAAAGCAACAGTTTCTTGCCCTAAAGAGCTTACAATGTGATTTTTGACAAAGGTGTGAAGAGGAGGGAGAGAGATGAGAGGCTGTGGGAAAGTAGAGGGTCAGTGGCGAGGCACGGGAAAACTGAGGATCAATGGGGGACACAGGGAAGTTGATGGTCAATAGAAGATATGGGGTGGGTTGAGAGACAGGGAATATTTGTGAGCAAGTAGAGTCATATATACTTATTCTATGTTTTTGTTGTGGATTTGAAGTAAGTGCTGGGCCAAAAACTTCATATATCTCTGGTGGGTTGTCTAGATGCACATTGTTTACTCCTGAATTATTTACTCCATTCATTTGGGTGGGAAGGAGGCACTGGTTATTTCCTTGTGTTGCTAGTCTTCCCAGTCCCCACAGCTTGGCATGGGTTACAATGAACACATTGCTGGGCAGAAACAGCTTAAAACAATATATCTTTATCAAAACTCCATCTCTCTGGAATTGGCCAGCAACAAGAGAGTCTGATGCGGTGAAATGCATGGGGTTAATATGGACTTGGGCACAAGCCCATGGGCAGCTCCATCAAGGACTGGATGACAGACCACAGCAGCACCTTGTAAAACTGCACCCAAACCTCAGGGGAATGAATCTTCAGATACGTATAAAATAATGTTCATTGGATATAATTTTTGTCCAAGGATTAGTGAGCCAACCACATTGCCTTAACAGGCTTTTCGCTGGACGGCTTTGAAACTGGCAGATGGTTTTATTTCCTCCAGCCAGGTATTTGTCATCAGTTGCAAAATGTTTAAAATATGTGTGGGTCAGTAGAAATATTTACAGAACAATCTCTGGCAAAGACAAGGCAGTTTCCTGGTGCTTGCGTTTAAAACAGAGGCGAGATGAGGGTGAAAGGGAACAGTGTGTAGCAGACTGGTAGATTAGTGTTTTGCAAAACTTTTACTGGTGGTCCAGATTCAAAGTTATGACTTGAAATGCCGCTTTCGACTCAAATGGGCTTTGAATTGAGGCTGTAAAGCAGGAATTGGAAGACCACAGGCCTTGGGATTGAATGTGCTCTCCAAAGACTTCTGCCTGGTCCTGAGGACGCTCCCCAGTCTATAGCCTACTTTCCAGGCCCCATTTCTCCTGAAGCTACACCTCTCCCAGGCCCTGTTCCTTACACTTTGAATGCTTTGCCTGGCTGGAAACTGTCCTCCAGCTGTGATCGTGCTTTTAGCTTGCCTGGATGGAAGATGGACAGGTGGGTGGGTGGGGCTGCTCGATGTAGAACCATCTGATCTTGTGCAGTTGGCAGATAGTAGTCTATTGTACAAAGGTAAGAGTCAGATCTGTGGCTCTGGCTGTGCCTAGTGTTGCCGCTGGCCACACCCACAGCTGGCATTCAGCCCCTTGGGAAGGTTTCCCATGAGGGAATGGAGTCTTTGGGCTGAAAATAGCTCTCCAGCCCTGCTGTAAAGCCGGGACAATCCAGCAGGAACACCATTATGGGAGTGCAATCCTTGGACCATTCTCATACCACACAATTACTTCTCAAAAAAATGTCTCTGTCTCTGGTCAGCTTACTAGTTCTCCATTGATATCTGAAGGGCTGTACTGTAGACAGATATTTTGTGGCAAACGGTGCATAAAGGTACAATAATAAAAAGTTAAAATTAAATTGGCCTCTCTCACCATACAACTGGCAGGTGGAAAGGCCTGAACCCAATACCTTAAACTCATATGTTGCCTTCTATCAGCCACCAGCAACCTGGTACCCTCCAGATATTCTGCAGCATAGCCATCAACCCCAGCTCTTTCCTGTTGCCTGGTACCTGAGACCCTTTAAACTGGAGATGCCATGAATTGAGCCCAGGCCCTTCTGTGTGTGCAATGTTGGTGCTTGACCACTGGGTGACATACCCTCCCCTCAGGATTGAAGGTGCCGGGTTGAACTCTCTGAAGGGGGAAATTCATAAACAAGGTGCCACCTCTGGCAGTGGAGGCCTCTGTTAAAAATTAGCTACCATTAGAGATCTTGCTTATACCTGCTAAAGGCAAAGATCCTTTTGTTTGTTTGTTTTTTAATATAATTTTTATTCAGTTTTCTGTTTTACAATTTAAAGTGCATCCTTAAGATATCAAGGACTTCCCTTCTGCTTTTTCCAAGGTTCATTTTACATATCATAAATCCCTGCATATTTTACAAAAACTATACCGTTCAGCATTCCATCATTACATCCATCAAAACTTACACTGTTGAATTTATCTTAATGCTGCCAGCGTTTTCAGCTGTACACAGTAATTTCCCATATATTCAATAAACGTTTTCCAATCTTCTCTAAATGTATGTTCTTCTTATTCTCTTATTCTATATGTTGTCTGCAAGCTGCACATATTCTGTTAAAAGGCAATAAGCAGCGTTTTTATGTGGAATGGCACATATCTGTGTTTCCCCATTTCTGCTCACTACCTTCTGGGTCTGTGGCTCGGTGGTAGAGCACTTGCTTTCCATGCAAAAGGTTCCTGGTTCCATCCCCAGCATCTCCAGGAAGACCTGGGTGAGACCCCTGCTTGAAACCCTGGAGAGCAGCTGCCAGACAGTATGGACAGTATTGAACTAGATGGGCCAGAATCTGTATAAATCAGCTTGCTTCCTGCATCCAACCATTCAAGTTGTTTATGTTTTGATATGGCTTTAATGAGAGAGGGTGAAGCTGGACTCCTCTGAAAAGGAACGGGACTGTTACCTGTTTGATTAGTTAGAACTTGGTTGGGAAGGAAGCACTGGTTATCAGCTCAGGTATGCCTACCGATTGCAGTCAAAGCCCTGCGCCGCGGAAATTGCTGCCGTCAATGGATTTATCAATATTTCCTTACGCCCATAAGCTTTGATACAGTGTCAAGTCATCGCCGCCAAATACTTTGCATGTGATAAAGCTTACCTGTTTCAGATACAGAAGTGAGTTGTGTTTCCTTGTGACTCACACTATCGCAAGGCTTCAGAGTGGCTTCTTGGCTGACTGCCGGGTTGATTATTCAGAGGAGGTTTTATAGCAAGCCATGGGCTCAGACCTCACAATTTGCAATTGTTTTAATTCGCTAGAAAAGAGAGAGGAAGGAATGGTCAGGGTATGTCTACACTGCACATTTAATCCAGCTTCAAACTGGGTGCAGGGGGGACATGTGGAAGGGAGCAAGGGGAAATTCTATTGCACAAGTGGAAGGTGTTCCACTCATCCAATATTTGAAGCACCGAGAGAGAAAAATAATTATCATCTTCCCCTCCCAGGTTCTGCACCCGAGCAGCCCCCGCCCCCAACCCGCCCCTATCAAGGTGTCCGTGTCAAAGAGCCCGTAAAGGAACTCCTAAAGCGAAAGCGTGGCAGTGTTCAGAATGCAAACGTGGCCAATGCTGGGGCAGCGACGACGGTAAGAAGAGCTGTGGGCAAAACCACAATTTGTGGGCAAGATCCTCTTCCTCTCTGAATCTCCTTGTTGATTCATATGGGTTTCCATCATGATGTCACCTACGCCAAGCTTGGTGTCTTATGCTCAGAGCTGGCGGGCTAAGCAGATCTGAAATCGAGCTTTGTACAAAGCTCAAGTGGCAAAAATCTGATTTTATAAACTGAGCCAGGAGAAGCAGCACTTGCAAACAGCTGAAATGAAAGGTGGCCTGTTGTGGGGCAGCGTGGCTTGCGGAATTCCCACCCCACTCTTTCTGCCCTTTCGTTCTCCAAACAAAAGCCTTTATTTGATTTGGTCATAAGATTTCTTACCCACCCTTCACCATCAGGACCCGAGATGGGTTCTCACAATATAATACAGTTACAAGAGCAAGTAAAACCATTATTATTATTATTATTATTATTATTAATCAAAACTGATGAGGTGGGTCCCGCAAAACAAAACACCTTAACTGTCAGAGGCCAGGGTAAAGAGGTGGATCTTCAGCGTTTGTGGTAAGCTATACAACAAAGATTCTAGACAAACCTCTGTCAGGAGGAGTTCCACAACTGAGGTGCTGCCACAGAGAAAGCCTTCTCCCAGGTTGTCATTCCCTGCTCTTCTGAGGGTAGCAGAATGACCAAGGCCACATCACGCCCTGCATTTAAAGCATCGTGGTACCACTTTTAACAGCCATGGCTTCCCCCAAAGAATTCTGGGAGATGCATCTTGTTAAGAGCGGTTACAATTCTCAGAGTGGTTTAATAATCAACTCCTCTTCACAAGGAGCTCTGGGGAATGGGGTGGGGGGAGAGATGGCTTTCTAACAACTCTCAGCACCCTTAACAAACTACAGCTACCAGAATTCTTTGGGGGAAGTGACATAATGGTGCTTTAAATGTAAGGTGTATGGGCAGCCTAAGAGAGCTCCCTACTGCCCTGTCCATATGCTGTGCCTGAAAGCTCATTAGGTGGCCTTGAAGTTTGATCACAGTTTAAATATCACTGAAATGAGTTTCCTAGTTGACCTCTGAGTAATATTTTCTCTGGTATTTCGTTTTCTTAAATAGCTGATGTCAAACTATTATTTTCCTTTAGGTATTTTTCCCCCATCAGCCTGTCCCTTCCTATTCACCCACTGGTAAGTGTCTCAGCATTCTGTTCTATTCTATTTTTTGCTTTTGTTTCTACTTCTTTGCTCATCTGTTTGTTTCTGACCTTCTCACAGCTTAACTCTCAAGTACAGCTGGGGGAGAAATTCAGTTCGTATTTAGAAGCAAACCTTCCTAACTGGCCTTTTTACAAAGCTAGCTGTGAGCCGAAACACAACCATACTTTGAAATTTGCACCTTTCCACTTTGTGCTGTGCAGATCTCCCAGTCAAGTAATGTGTTTCTAAAAATGAATATTTTAGTGAAAAGAGTGTACAAAATATATGCAGGGAAAACAAACGGTTTGCAAAAAAAAAAAAAAAAAGTGTCTATCAGGCAAAATTGCATAGGAAAATCTGTATGTTAAACCTTTGCACTAAAATGCTGATGAATTCTGAGGACCTTAAAAAACAACAACCCTAAGTGGAAATGACTTAAGATTGGAAAAAATGAGAAGCTGAAACTAACAGATTTGCCTCTCCCTACCTTCAAGACTCTCCTCTCTCCACAGGCCAAGTCTGCACAGATTCGGATTTTGTCACTTCTGCACTGCCAGTGATGGATGATGGGTCGCTGTATTCCGGGTGGTTAACACAACCTTCTCCAGCCTCTCTGCAGCCTTTGACCCAGTGGACCACCTACCCAGATTATGTCTCCCATGAAGCTGTCAGCTGTCCTTATTCAGCAGACATGTATGTCCAGCCCATGTGCCCAAGTTACACACTCGTTGGAACATCTTCCGTGCTCACTTATGCATCTCAGCCACTGATCACAAACTTTGCGGTGAGTCTGGCTGGGTCACTGCAATGGACCAGTTCTACTAATTTCTTACAGTTTTATTGAACATGATTTATATACCTCCTAACAACACTGGGACATGGGTGGCGCTGTGGGTTAAACCACAGAGCCTAGGACTTGCCGATCAGAAGGTTGGCAGTTCGAATCCCTGCGACGGGGTGAGCTCCCGTTGCTCGGTCCCTGCTCCTGCCAACCTAGCAGTTTGGAAGCATGTCAAAGTGCAAGTAGATAAATAGGTACCGCTCTGGCGGGGAGGTAAACACCGTTTCCGTGTGCTGCTCTGGTTCGCCAGAAGCGGCTTAGTCATGCTGGCCACATGACCTGGAAGCTGTACGCCGGCTCCCTCGGCCAATAAAGCGAGATGAGCGCCGCAACCCCAGAGTTGTCCGCGACTGGACCTAATGGTCAGGGATCCCTTTACCTTTACCTTTAACAACAACAACAGCCTCTAGGTGGTTTAACTTAAAACAATATCAGCCATTCATAAGATGTCACAGATAAAATCAGCAAACTTTAAAAACAAAGAGACAAGAAAATGATCAAAATATTGATGAAAAGCAACAGTTTTAAATACAAATGACCTTGACAGATTAGAGAACTGGGCCAAAACAAACAAGATGAATTTTAACAGGGAGAAATGTAAAGTATTGCACTTGGGCAAAAAAAATGAGAGGCACAAATACAAGATGGGTGACACCTGGCTTGAGAGCAGTACATGTGAAAAGGATCTTGGAGTCTTGGTTGACCACAAACTTGACATGAGCCAACAGTGTGACGTGGCAGCTAAAAAAGCCAATGCAATTCTGGGCTGCATCAATAGGAGTATAGCATCTAGGTCAAGGGAAGTAATAGTGCCACTGTATTCTGCTCTGGTCAGACCTCACCTGGAGTACTGTGTCCAGTTCTGGGCACCACAGTTCAAGAAGGACACTGACAAACTGGAACGTGTCCAGAGGAGGGCAACCAAAATGGTCAAAGGCCTGGAAACGATGCCTTATGAAGAACGGCTAAGGGAGCTGGGCATGTTTAGCCTGGAGAAGAGGAGGTTAAGGGGTGATATGATAGCCATGTTCAAATATATAAAAGGATGTCACATAGAGGAGGGAGAAAGGTTGTTTTCTGCTGCTCCAGAGAAGCGGACACGGAGCAATGGATCCAAACTACAAGAAGGAAGATTCCACCTAAACATTAGGAAGAACTTCCTGACAGTAAGAGCTGTTCGACAGTGGAATTTGCTGCCAAGGAGTGTGGTGGAGTCTCCTTCTTTGGAGGTCTTTAAGCAGAGGCTTGACAACCATATGTCAGGAGTGCTCTGATGGTGTTTCCTGCTTGGCAGGGGGTTGGACTCGATGGCCCTTGTGGTCTCTTCCAACTCTATGATTCTTTGATTCTATGAAATACACATAATAAAATTATATTTTTGGTTAGGCTAAGCAATGAAGCTTTTAGCAGTTGTAGAAAAGGGTGCAACGAAGGCACCTGCTTCAGGGAGTTCCAAAGAGAAGATGCTGCTACTCTGAAGGGGCAATTCTATTTTTACAAGTGCAGAGCAAGCAATGTTTGGCAGTTGCAAGAATGCCAGTTTCATAGATCAAAGTGGTCAAGTGGGATAAGGTGGTCCTTCAAGCAAGCTGGTGTCGGGCTGCTGAGGGCTTGGTGAAATATTTCCCTCAAGATTGCACATTAAGTATTGTTGAAATCAAGTATCATTGGGTGACAAATACACATTGTATGCAATATCCAGTAAGCATTCATCAGATATTTAAATATACAGCGAATGTTTGACATCACAATTCTCAGAAGACCATCACAAAGGGATTATTTTCCTGATGCAAATCCTCTTCGACTCTAATTTAAGCACAGGCTGTTATAGAATTAAGCTTCCTCATGTGAGAAGTAAAAAATTAAGATCATTGTGTGCACCTCGGGGGGGGGGAATGAGAGAGAAAGTGAGAGTATAGTCATCAGCTTAGTATTGGCTTTGACTAGCAAAGAATCTCATCGCTGCGACTGGCAGCTTCTGAATTGCTGTAACTGAAGAGTGCCATAAATTGCATTGTTCTGTCTTGCTACCCAAAATATCAAATATCGGATCTGAATATTCGCAGGGAGCACCTGGAGCCTTTTCTTCCTGGTCTGTTTCCACACAATATTTTTACAACATTGTTTGTAGCTATATTTCAAATGCCATGAATAATTATTTTATTTGATGGTTTTCAGGGTGCTTTACAGTTGTTGTTTTTTAAACAACACTTTGCACAAGACCAACTGTATATAGCAAAAGCAGCACTGAGGCCTATTTCCCAGCCAAAGACCTGATCACCCATTGATTTCAGACATGATCAAGAGGGACAGTCTGCAGATACTGGGCTGTCTTCCACACTGAAGCCCACGGGGCTGGAATTTCTTGCAAATGTAGTTGTTGCTGTCAGAGATCAACACGGCCTCATGCTATGTGCCACAGCAAAGTGGGAGGAACTTAGATCACATGTTCTGTTCTTCTCTTGTAGATGCTTCACTCAGCTACGGGTATGCACACCTCCACAAATGATTGATCCAAGTTAATGCCACAATGCCTCCATTAATTTCTATATGGGGAAGGAAGAGGCAGCATCCCTAGAAACAGCTGAGGGGAGGGAGGAATCTTGTTGCCCCACAGCAAGGAGCCTGTTAGGGAGCCCTGGGCTTGCCGATCGGATCGGAAGGTTGGCGGTTCGAATCCCAATGACGGGGTGAGCTTCCGCTGCTCGGTCCCTGCTGCTGCCAACCTAGCAGTTCAAAAGCATGTCAAAGTGCAAGTAGATAAATAGGTACTCCGGCGGGAAGGTAAACGACGTTTCCGTGCGCTGCTCTGGTTCGCCAGAAGTGGCTTAGTCATGCTGTCCACCTGACCCAGAAGCTGTACGCTGGCTCCTTCGGCCAATAAAGCGAGATGAGCGCCGCAACCCCAAAGTCGGCCACGACTGGACCTATTGGTCAGGTGTTCCTTTACCGTTACCTTTAAGGACCCTGTTATTCCAAGGGTGCCTAGTAGCAGGTGGGCTTCTTGACCCATCAGCCATGTTAAGGAATCCAGCCTATTTCCCACCATGCAAGTTAACAAATACATAACTCTCCCATTTGTATGCATGGGGAAGAGGAAGGTTTTCTGTTCTGGGTTGGGAACGAACACACAAACTGAGGCGGTTTCTGGTACAGTTTGGAAATCCTCGGATTTCTCTGCCGTCTCTCTTGGCAGGTCCAGAAGTTGAGAACCTAAGAAAGTAATGCAAGGAGAGTTAATTGGGAGTAGGCTGTAAGGCTCAAAGGAAGCTGTTTCATACCAAGGTCAGACTCTTTGTCCTTCCAGCCCAGAGTCAACCACACTGGCTAGCAGTGGCAAAGATCTTTCCTGTCAACACTTACTTGACCTTTTCTAAAACTGGAGCTGCCAGGGATTGAATGTGAAACCTTCTGCATGCAAAGCAAGTACTCTGCCATTGTTGTTGTTTCTCTCTCCTCCCAGGATTTCATGGCATCAGTTAGCAGAATTTATTTATTCATTAGCCCTGGGCAGCTGCCATGGTTTTTTGCCAACTCCCATTTTATCCTCCGGCAATGTCCCCCATGAAGCAGGTGAGGTTGAGAGTGAGTGATTGGCCCAGCAGCAGTTGGTGGGGTGTGGGGCAAAGTCACAGAGCCCCTCCTGACGCGAACGGCATTACTGTTTATATGGATGAGGCTCAGGCAGGCTGCTGCTTCTTTAGCAGAGTGGCAATGAGGTTAGAGCCATGTGGACACATAAGCATGACAGAATTATTTATATGACCTTTGCAGACTAAAAAAGAAAATCCAGTGATAGCGGATTCTGCTCTTATTTGCTTGTGCAATTTCTGCTCCTGAGCTGTGGGTGAGCAAGCAAATTGTGGCAATTTCCATTTCTGATGGTATCCTCCCAGATTCCTAGCCAAAGGTCGCCTAGGGAGCTAATGGCTGATTGGAGATTTGAACCTGGGTCTTCCCAATCCTAGGCCAACACTCTACTGCAGGGGTGCAAAACCCAAGGGCCTCCAGATGTTAGAACTCCCATCAACCTTGACTACTGGCCCTCTTGGGTGGGCCTAAGGGAGTTGGAGCTCAACAACACCCACGTTCCCCATCTGTGGCCTAGTTACTCAACCACACTGTTGTTGTTGTTTAGTCATTTAGTCGTGTCCGACTCTTCGTGACCTCATGGACCAGAGCACGCCAGACACTCCTGTCTTCCACTGCCTCCCGCAGTTTGGTCAAACTGATGCTGGTAGCTTCAACAACACTGTCCAACCATCTCATCCTCTGTTATCCCCTTCTCCTTGTGCCCTCCATCTTTCCCAAAATCAGGGTCTTTTCCAGGGAGTCTTCTCTTCTCATGAGGTGGCCAAAGTATTGGAGCCTCAGCTTCACTATCTGTCCTTCCAGTGAGCACTCAGGACTGATTTCCTTAAGAATGGATAGGTTTCATCTTCTTGCAGTCCATGGGACTCTCAAGAGTCTCCTCCAGCACCATAATTCAAAAGCATCAATTCTTCAGCCTTCTTTATGATCCAGCTCTCACTTCCATACTGTATCCTTCATTATTTGTAATGGTTCATTGCTAGTTTTGCAGTTTTTTGTCTGGAGGATTTAAATCTTGACCCTTGTTTTTGACTTATTTATTTTTAATAAATGAATGGAGGCATCATGGCTGGGGCTGGTAAGATCTGGAGACCCACAAAATCTGCCCCCCCCAAAAAAGTTTAGCCTCTCCTGCTCCAGAGAAACACAAGTGATGGGTCAATCTGTTTTTTCCTTTTAATCAAACAGGCAAGACCCACTTCCACACCAGCTGTTGTGCCTCACTTGGATGTCATGGACCAGCAAGCTCCTCTGAGCTACTTCCCATGGACTCAGCCAATTTCAACATTACCAGCACCGTCCCTGCAGTACCAACCGGCTTCAACCACCCTCCCTGCACCCCAGTTTCTGCCTCTTCCCGTTTCAATCCCAGATCCGGTCCCCGAGGAGCTGGAGGACTCAAGGAAGGAAATGGGCACCCTGACCATCGAGAAGCTTCTTCTGCAGGATGAAAACAACGGCACATACGATCTGAGCAACAGCCTCCCAGTTGAAGGCCTTTAAAGTCAGAGTTTCAGCATACAGGGATAGCTTGAAACGTCTCAAGTCTTTGTGGCTCAAGGACAACCCAGCTCTCTCTCTCTCCATCTCTCCTTTGGGTGTGAAAACCCGGTTTGTCTTCTGTGTGCTGAGCCCCTTTCCATATTGCATATGCAGAGAAATGGCGGTTTATCGGGACAGTTCTTCAGCACCCGAGTTTAGGCAAAAGAAATACAGCAGCCCAGCCCCACAAGTAGGAATACCACACTGTGAATAGGCTCTTTCCTTCTAGATGGTGGAATAAAGCGCAGAAACAGGGAAACAGTGGTAAGGCAGGCCACAACAACCCTATTTCAGCTTAAGTACAACCCGGGGAACCCCACAGCACCTTAATTCGTATGGCTAAGCACCCATCCAGTTCCATGGGTGGCTCAGGAGGCCGCCAGGAATTCTGGAATTGAATAGGTGCTGCTTATGGGCTCCTCTAGAAAAGTCTTTCAAGGGGGCAAGAAGCAGACGGGGACATGTTTCCCTTGCAAGGTGTGGCTCTTAGCTTTGTGCTGTAGGCTGAATTCAACTGGGGGTTTCTGTGCCCATTCCCACTCACACCCCTCTCCCTCCAGGCAAGCAAGTGACAGTTGTCATACTCTAAGAAGAAGTGCTCAAGGAAGGTGTGGAGTGTTGCTAGCCTAAGGAGAAGTTGTGGTCTGGGCAGAGTCCCAAGGGGCAGACAAAGAGGCCTGGAAGGCCACATTTGACTCCTGGGATGGAAGTCCCTCACCTGTAGATCAAGGGCTTATCCACACTTTCATCTGTGCTGCAATTTCTATTGGTCCATGATTTGTAGGCACGGGTGGTTTTTTGTTTTGGTCACACCGCTGCGTTTCCCGAGCAAACCCACTGTTTATCACTGGATCAGAACAAGCAGAAGTTAATAGAAAACCTGGTGTTTGTTCCAATTCAGCAGTAAAGCATTGGTTTTCCGGGGGAAGCAGCAAGATAATAAACCCCCAAAACTGTTCGGACCTGTGCCTAGAAATCATGGCACAAACAGAGCCCCAAGTGCTCACACCAGCTATTCACAACCTGGCACCCTCCACTATAACTCCCATCAGCTGTGACCGTTGGGATGTGTTGACTCAGGATGATGGGAGTTGTAGTCCAAAACATGTAGAGGGTGCCACGTTTCCCTCAATCCGTTAAAGACGAACATTCTTCTGAGATTTGCTCAGCCCTTACGAAACCTATTTAGAAATATCCTGTCATAGTAAGTGTCTTTTGTCAATTATCTCTTGAAACTCTGGATTATCACAAGCTATTCAGGGTACAGCCAATAAAAAATTACAAACCCAAGTTAGGCATGTCCATGGATACACTTTTTTAAAAATATGAAGTTTGAATGTAGAGTGCACCTTCTGTGCTTTATTACACCAAGATACTCAGAGTGCCCCACAGAATGTCAGTATTTTCCAGGAGAGATTTAAACACATAGCCGAGCTTTAGGTTTGTGTAATTAAAAGTGTCATCCTAGCACCCCAAATCCACGTTTGAAAAAAAGACTTTTTGCAGCTTGGAAAGTGACAGGCAAATGTGGGACGGGTGGCTGACTCACAGCAAACAGCCCACAAGCAAATAAGGATGAATGCAGGATGAACGTTTGCTGTCGTATAACCACCCTGTAAACAAATCAGAAAGTATGCTCAGTAAAGTATGCACAGAGTTGTCTGGAGGAGCTCTCCGAGTTCTTTGTATATAATAGTCAGGATAAACCAATGAAGATGACGGAAAGGCAAGCTGGGTCCCTGCTGTTTTTGAAATCTGGCTTGTTGTTATATTTTAAAGAAGGGATTCGTGCTGGGTGCTGTTATTTCTTTAGGCAAAAATCATAATAAAACATAGCATTGATGCAGCACATTCCCAGTGTTCCAATGGCTCTGCTTGCATACGCATTTTCCTAAGAATGATTTCCCATGCAAGGAATATTCCTCCTGTGAAGGATGCTACAGAGAGCACCTTTTAAAGCCAAACCCTCTTAAAGAAAGGACACTTTTCCAATGTACACTCAACATTATCTTGGCAAACGGCATTGCTTCATTTCCGAAAGGACTGTCGACATTCTTGAGCACTCAGTGCTGTAAAGTTTTTATCGTGTGTACAATATAACAATCTGGGGACAAATATTGTCTGCAGGATCCGAGGGCCAAGCGGAGCAGTTTTAAAAAAAAGGCAATTTAAGACTCTCCCCCCCCCCCACACCCCCATACACACACCTCTGCACCTTTCCCCTTCTTTTGGCTTGGATTTTGACTGCCAGAGAAACAACTGACTCTTGGTCTGGGAATGGGGAAAACGTTGCTTTAACTGAATGCTCCGTGTAGCAATTCTTCATCTAAAAGATCAACAAAGCCTGGGAGACTAAATGGAAGCAGTTGGGTCTAGTTCTGTAGGGTAGAACCTGAATTATCCAGCATGCTCACGCAGTCATAACCCTATGGCCTTTGCTCCTTCACGCCTGACACCCTCACCTGCCCAAATCTTTTTCTGCCCTCTCAAACCTACTCTCTTTTGGCACCCCTTACACAGTGAAGGCCACTTTATTGGGGGGAACAGAGCACTGCCTCACCAACATTATTCAGCAAAAACCAGCCCCTACCCGCTTGCCTTCTTACTTAACAATTAGTCCAGGGAGTGGTAGTACCTGTCACCATCCTCCTAGAGTTGCCCTTGTGGCACTCAGTAGGGAGGAGGATGGAGACAAAACTAGAATTAGTTGCCTCTGCCTGCCGTTAGCTCTGGCGCCACCTACTTTGGCCTCCCTGCCTTCTACCCTACCAGTGGAAGCATCATGCTATTTTCAGCGATTGCGTTTACCAGTTTTCTTCTCTGTGTGTTTCCTTCCTTCCTTCCTTCCTTCCTTCCTTCCTCTGCCCCAAGCTTTATCCACAAGCAATATGAAAGGCAATCCTCCAGCTACCTTGGTCCTACGTTGTAATGCAGGAGTGGAGGGCCTATGGCCTTCCAGATATGGCTGGACTACAACTCCCATGATCCCATGACAATTAGCTGTGCTGACTGGGGCTGATGGGAAATGGAGTCCAATGGCATCTGTTTCTATTGCCAGGTTTCCCACCACCACTGTAAAGTAAAATTCATATCTGCTGAACTCTGAACATGGACTTCAAACAGAGGGAAAATACTGTTTTTTCTTCTTCCCGCAACTGGCTGAAGCTAGTAGAGCTGTTCACAAGTAAACTGGTGTTACAACTCTGGGCATGTGCCTTTGTGCACACTCGTACCAGGAGAGCTGTGTTGCAAAAGCTTTGATGTCTGTATTAACAGGATGTGAAAGAGCAGCAAAGCGATGTTGAGCTTTGCCCTACAGGATGGGAGCCTCTTTTTCACCCCTTACTTAGAATGCAATGCAGAGCTTTCAGGTTCCTGAAGATTGCAAGGGGTGTTGGGTTGCCTACAGGATACTAGAATTCACTTTCATCACAGTAAAAATTAAATAGCCCACACCTGGCAAACGTTCCAATTTTGCCCTGCCAATGGTGAATGCAGATCTTTCACATTTGGGTTTTTTTCCATTTTGGAACATGAACTCTTTATGTAGGATTTAACTTGGTATAAGTGTTTTAGACTTGTTGCCATGTCTTGGCAGGTTTGATCTGGGTAGGCATCAAATATGAAATTTCATCAATTAATGTATGGAGGAAAACAATGCAGTACAGACATGCCATGCAAACAGAGCTTTTTCTTCAGGAGGAACTCAGTTCCAGCCCTTCTCAGGTTGGCGTCACTGCTATTCTAAGAGAATGAAGGAGGTGTTCGTTGTGAGTTCCGGCACCTCTTTTTCTAGAAAAATAGCGCTGCATGGGAGCGTAGGCTTCCTGAAGGCATTTGGCTGGCCACTGTCAAAAGCAGGATGCTGGGCTAGATAGACTTTCATTCTGCTGTGACTGGACTATGGAGGAGAAGTCTATCAACAATGGTCAACAGCATCTGTTTTGCATGCAGAAGGTGCCACGCTCAATCCCAGACAGGGCTAGGAGAAAACTCTGCCTGAAATTCTGTCTGCCTTTGGTCCCTCAGCGTAAAGAATATTGAGTTAGATGGCCCAATGGTCTGGCTTGGTATAAGGCATCTTTCTATGTTCCTGTGTATTAAGAGAGGGGCTGTAGCTCAGTGGCAGAGTAACTGCTTTGCATGCAGACAGTCGAAAGTTCAATTCCCAGCAACCCCAGAGTGCTGGGAATGTCCCTTGCTGAAAATCCTGGAATTCCAGCCAATGTAGACATTATTGAGCTACCTGGCCCAAGGATAAGGCAGCTTCCTATATCGCTAGTTATTGCTCTGTGTAAAACCAGAAATCAGGGCTCATTCTAAGATCTGTGGGTTTAGCCGCGTCCTTACCCTTACTGCAGATTCTCTCTTCCACTCAAGAAAAGCCAGGTGTGTGTATTCTGTCCCCCAGTAAATGCCACTGCTAATCAAAGTGTTTGATCCGTGGGCTCGGAGCATACAAATATTTACTGAATCGCTCCGGAACCTGAGAGCTATAAAGACAAGCAGTTTAAGTAGGAAAAGCGTAAGATAGGGAGGTGAGCGGTTGAAGGCAACATGTGGCCTCAAGTCACATTTTACAAGAGGTACAAGAAAATCACCAGGCTAGAGGCCAGATTCTTGTCTCTCCCCCCAGTTTTCTTTTTTGAAAAAATGGTTTAGCAGATGGTTACCTACCAGCCCTTGCAGCTGTTGATAGGGATAACACCTGGTTCCTGACCATGGAGACAGCAGGTCTGCGAAGCAGCCGTGAACTTGTTTGGTTGGGGCTTGGTTGTTGAACTAACACTATACTGAAGCAGCGATGGACGGGCTGGCTTAGATTTTAAAAATAAATAAAGAGGACAAATTCATGAAGGCTATGAATGGACATTCAAGGCTATGAATGGGCATACAAATAAAATGGTGGTGGTGATGGTGGTGACATGAGCTGCAATACTGAACCAATAACTTCAGTGTACAGAGATTCTGAGTGACAGGTGTTGAGGGCAGGTGGAAGGTGTTGCTTCCTGCTGATTGCTTCTGATAACAGGATGCTGGACAGATGGGCTGGTGGCGCTGTGGTCTAAACCACTGAGCTTTTTGGGCTTGCCAATCAGAAGGTTGGCGGTTTGAATCCCCACAATGGGGTGAGCTCCCACTGCTCTGTCCCAGCTCCTGCCAACCTAGCAGTTCAAAAGCACACTAGCGCAAGTAGATAAATAGCTACCGCTGCAGCGAGAAGGTAAACGGCGTTTCCGTGCGCTCTGGTTTTCATCACGGTGTTCCATTGCGTCAGAAGTAGTTTAGTTCTGCTGGCCACATGACCTGGAAAGCTGTCTGTGGACAAACACCGGCTTCCTCGGCCTGAAAGCAAGATGAGCGCCGCAACCCCATAGTCGCCTTTTGATTGGACTTAACCGTCCAGGGGTCCTTTTTTTTTGGTCTGATCCAGGAAGATGCATCTTGTAAAGCGAGGGAAGGTGTTCTATGGCGCTAAAGACACAAGCAGCCCTTGAACTCATATTCCTCCCCTACTGAAATTAGGTTTGAAAGAAGCCTATTGCTGCCAGGAGGAGGGCCATTTTCATGTCTAATTGTTGGTGGGGGCAAGGAAGAGTTAGTATGCCTGGTTGAAGTGTACATGCACATCTGTGACTGCAGTCTGTGCACTGTGACAGTGTGCATAAGATGCTCACAAATGAGCCCATGGGCCCCAAACTGATGAGTGACTCTTCTATTTAAATTACACAGGTAAATGTAACGTTTCTACTAAAATTACGTCCATGTTTTGAAAGTGAGCAAGCTTAAACAGCAAACTGCTGCTTCCTTTGGGTCCAAAAGCTGAGTCCACCAAAGGATTTTTGAAATCAATGCATGTACTTGCATTACCCTACAATCCAAGTTATACTTTGTGACCTCTGGATGCCACAAAACTTTCAACATCTTTATCACAAATAATCTGCTCTCTCCCAAATTATCATGCTCGGAATTTTTAAAATTCAGTGCACACGGTCAACATTTCAAGCTTCAGCCCTCTCTCTTTCTTTTGCCTCTCTGTGTAAAACATGTTGCCACAATCTTTGGAAAATCTCTCTGGCCATCCGTCTTTCCCAAAACCGCAGGTATGTGAGCCAGAAATTCTAAAAGGCATTTTCTTCCCAAGTCAGGTTGATTGTGGACAGCGTCTGTGCTTTGCGCTTTGCAAAAATGGGCCAAAAACAGTTATCTTCACATCACATCACTCGTCCAAGATAGCTCAGTCTCGAAGCTCATCTGCCACCTCCACCCTGTAATTTTTCCTTTATCTTTCCGGAGCCACTGTATGGGGCAATAGTCTTCCATTTTAAAAAAACATTCCTGTCACTGTCTCCTGATAATTCCATAAGTTCACTGTTGACATTGATAGAGTCGCCTGCAAATTATTAGTTTATCTCTGAAGTGTCTCTGGACCATCCTTCCTGCCCCCGCAACCCCCCTCAAGGAAAATACAATCTTTCTTTTCCAGTAGAAGAATTTGAATAATTTCTGAACCAGCATCTGGCTCTCCTTATTTGGTCCAGCTTTTGTGGGCCAGGGAGTTGGGGGGGAGAGGTTTAGAGTTCACACATTTAATTCCTGTTTCCTTAACACATAGGGAGGGCGCTGAGTTTGAATTAGGAATGGAGGATAAATCCAGTTAGGATTTTAATCCAGGACCCTCCCCATCCGGTTCACACTTTCTGAAAACAATACACCAATCTCAGCACAGCTGTCCCTCAAAATTTGCACCTCGCCGAGTTGGGTGGTGCAATTGGTGAAAATATAAAATGCCTTCTCTCAGAGGAACTTGCTTGCAAAAAATAAATAAATGTGAATCTTGGGAGAAATTTCCAGTAAAATGCTGATGGATTTTCATGAGGACTTTAAAAAAACAACAACACAGAAAAAGAATTCCCATGTACAACAGCTCTTCTGAAAACCATATTGCTAGCGGTGGAATCAGAGAAATTATGGCAAGTTGTTATGGCGAGGCAACTGCTTTATGCGGCCAACTGATTGCAGGTACGTAAAGACAAAACACCCATAAAGATTAATCTCATTTCCGTCTGTTAAGGCTTGGCCTTGGAACAACAGGCGAGGAATGGGGCTTCTTCTATCTGGGTCTATAAATCATGGCTTCTTGCGCTACAAAAGGAACTTTTGGCAGGCGCACTGTTTGCGGGCAGAGGCAGAGCTAGCTGCTCTTGCACCCTGAGCAGCACACATGCTGTGCACCTGGGGGCGGGGCTAGCCGCCCGCAGGGGCAGGGCAAGCATCCCAGGGGGGCCACCCGGCGATGTCACCCCCTTCAGGGATGACACCTGGGGTGGGCCGCACCCACCACCCACCCCTTCCTCCGCCAGTGTTTGCAGGGAGCACAGAAGGCAACACAAATCCTGCTTTCTTTCGGGCCATACATGAGAAAGCAACCTCCTTCCAGGCCGCAGGTCCACAGGAAGCTGCCTTTCACAGAGTCAGAGCTTTGGTCCACTCAGTATTGTCTGCACAGACTGGCAGCAGCTCTCTAGGGGTTTGGGCAGTGAGTCTCTCCCAACCCTATCTGGAGGTGCAACTGGGTATTGAACCTGAGACCTTCTGCATGCAAGGTGGATGTTTCATCACAGAGCTACGACCCTTCCCCAAGGTCAGACTATTCATCCCTCTTGCCAAGTACTGTCTCCTCCAGCGGTGTTGGTGTTAGTGGACTACAACTCCCATCCGCTCCAGACAGCATGGCAAGTGGGCAGGGATGGTTGGAGCTGTCATCTCACCATATCCGGAGAGCGCCACACTGACTGCCTCTGGTCTGTTCAGACAGTGCGGGATTCCTGAAGAGCCTCAGGTAAAGAGGTTCTTGCCCATCACCTGCTGCCCAGAATACTTTTCAGTGGAGATGTTTTGTGAATATAAAGCAAGATTACTCACTTTGGAGACCCAGGATAAAAGAGGCTCTTATTGAGGAACAGGCTAAGGCACAACTGCACAGGAAAATGAAAGTAACCACAATTGAAAAAAGCTAAAGCATGGCACTTAAGCTCCAACCCATAGTAACCGGAAACAATGTTTAACTCCGTAATTACCAATTCCCTACAACTCCCAGAGACTGATGTCAAGAGGGATTGACTGCTAAACCACTCTGAGAATTGCAGCTCCATGAGAGGAATATGAGCCTCCTAGCAACTCTCAGCCACCCTTAACAAGCTTCAGCTCCCAGAATTCTTTGGGGGAAGAAGCCATGGCTGTTTTTAGTAGCTCTAAATGTATAGCACAGGCGCAGAATTACCGTATTTTCCGCCCTATAGGACGCACCGGCCCATAGGACGCACCTAGATTTGGGGGGGGGGGGAAATAAAGGGGAAAAATATTTCCCCCGGCACGGGGCTGGGTCAGGGGAAGCCTGAGCTTCCCCCGACCCCAGCCCCCAGAACAGGTCCCAGAGCGATGGTGAAGCTGCGCGCAGCTTTGCGATCACTCTGGGAGCTTGCCGGGCTGGGAGGATACCGCCCCCAGGCTGGGGGGATACTGGGTGCGCACCGACCCCTCTCGCTCTCCAGGCTTCAGCGAAAGCCTGCATTCGCCCCATAAGACGCACACACATTTCCCCTTCATTTTTGGAGGGGAAAAAGTGTGTCCTATAGGGCGAAAAATACGGTAAGTTTCTTTGCATTGTGAAAAGAGAGACTTCCTTTCGGAAGCTTATTTGTCAGAAGCAAACTAAGCAGGACAGTTTTTAAATTATGACACCAATAGCAGTAGTTGTAGGGTTAGCCTCCCCCTGCCCGCAGCCACAATCTGAACAAAAATCACACCATGCTATTCACCTAAGGAAAAAGCTCCTTTTTGACCCAAACACATGTTCTGTTAATTGGAATAACAGGAACATATCCTCAAAGGCATTGCATTTTTCCCCCTATTAGGCCATGGGGGGAAATGGAACATTTTACAAATGCCCAGCAGGGGTCACTATGGGCTTCTAGAGGTGGAGATACAAGATTCCTTCAAATCCAGATGTTAATATGCAAATACATAACACATGTGGCAGGCCGCATTCTGGACCTTGTTTTATCAACAGGGCAGGAAAAGGATGATCTGAAAGTGTGCGATATTGACATCAGTCACTTGTCATGGTCAGATCACTTCCTGCTGAGATTTAGGCTTTCAGCACCTTATCCCCTCTACAGAGGTGAAGAACCAAGTGGGATGATCCACCTTGAGGGATCCAATGGGTTTTCAGATGACTCTGGGGTATTTTCTGGCTGATTTGACTGGCGAGTCTGTCAAAGCCTTGACCAACCTTTGGAACATCCAAATGGCTCGGGCCGTTGACATGAGCGCCCCTGAGCGCCCTCTCCCACTTTGTGGAGCCCATGTCTTCTCAACCCTGGTATACTTCAGAGGTTAGGGCAAGGAAACAAGCTGGGAGACAGCTGGAACGCAAGTGGAGGAAAAGTACAGTTGAATGCAATCAAACCCTGGAGAGGGCTCATCATCGAGTCTACCGTGTGGCAGTGAAGGCAGCAAAGAAGGCACACAGTGGTACCTCAGTTTAAGAACAGCCCTGTTTACAAACTATTCGGTTTATGAACTCCACAAAACCAGAAGTAGTGTCCCGGTTTGCGAACTTTACCTCAGTCTAAGAACGGAAGTCAAATGGTGGAAAGGCACCGGTGGCGGGAGGCCTCATTAGGGAAATCGTTCCTCAGTTTCGGTTTAAGAACGGACTTCCGGAACGGATTAAGTTCGTAAACCAAGGTACCACTGTACTTTGCTGCCTCCATTGCATCCTCATTGTGTCAGAGTTTTTCTGGGTAGTGTGGGGCCTCTTACAGGCTGCCCCAAACAACCAACAGTAGATCACTGTGATTTTTTTGCAAAGCATTTTGAGGACAAAATCACTTGCATCCCCTGGGATCTTGACTCCGCTATTACAGCAGATGTAATAGGGGTGTTCAGAGCACTGTCAAGTCCTGTTGTGTTGGATGAGTTTTAGTTAGTAAGGCTTAAGGATGTGGAGAAGCTGCTTGGACTGGTCAGGGCCACCACTTGTGCTCTGGACCCTTGGCCCTCTTGGCTGACAAAAACTAGTAGGGAGGAAACAGCTGGCTGGGCCAGGGAGGTGATTCATGCCTCCTTTTGAGAGGGGGTGGTCCTTGCCTGCTTGAAGGAGGCAGCGGTAAAACCACACCATTCTTAATAAACCCTTCCTGGATTCAGAAAATCTAAGTAACTACCAACCTGTTGCTAATTTCCCTTCCTTGGGCAAGGTTCTAGAGTGGGTGAGTGCAGACTAGATCCAGGCATTCTTGGAGGAAATGAATTTTCCAGAACAATTTCAGTCAGGGTTTAGGTGTGGTTTTGGAACAGAAATAGCTTTGGTCACCTCTGTTAGGAGAGAGACAGGGGAAATGTGTCCCTGTTACGGTAATTCTCCTTGACCTCTCAGTGGCTTTCAATACCATTGGTCATGGTATCCTTCTGGAGCAGCTGTCCGAGTTAGGGGTGGGTGGCACCACATTGCAGTGGTTCTGGTCCTCGACGGTCGTTTCCAGGGGATGATGCTTGGGGAGTGCTCTTCAGCCCTGTGGAACCTTTAATGTGGAGTTCCTCGGGTTTCAATTTTATCATCTGTGCCGTTTAACATCTACAGTACATACATGAAACTGCTTACTGGCGTGATCCAGAGTTTTGCAGTATGGCGTCAGCAATATGCTGATGACACATAGCTCTACTTCTCCTTTACAACTGCAGGTGCAGAAGTGGAAGCGCTGGACCAGCCTTGCCTTGGTAATGGACTGGATAAGAGCTAACAAACTGAAATTCAATCCAGGTAAGGCACTGTTCGTGAATGGTTCCCTAGACCGGAGGGCTGGGAGGTTGCCTGCTCTTTATGGGGTTACGCTTCCTCTGGAGGAGCGGGTGGTACTTTTGGATCCCTTGCCATCACTTTGAGGCTCAGGCGGCCTCAGCGATGAGGAGTGCCTTCCATGAGCTTTTATCTTAAACCATTGCGAACACAGTAAATAAAGAGTTCCAGGAGGAGGAGTACCAGGAGGAATGGATGAAATTCAAAGACTATTTAGCTAAATACGCTAAGATAACTTAAACAGAAATACTTGCAAGTACCAGATTGGCTTAGGATTTAAATATGTGATCTTATAGAATAATACGTTTAAATTTAATATGAAAAGAAACATGTTATTCGACTAAGTAAATTTTATGAGAAATTATTTTTGGAAATCCGTTACAATGATATACATTGAAACTCAGCCAGGGGGATTTGAGGAAGTCACCTAACAATGTTAATAATAGTGGAATAAGTAGTTAGGATTTATGTGTGTTTGTTTGTTTATAAATTTGGAAAATCAATAAAAAAATTTGAAGGGAAGCAAGTAAATAAAGAGTTCCGGTAATCAGGCGTTTCATCCTTAAAGAGATTAGTCATCAAGCTGTCAAAATCAATTGTATCAGGAGGAGCATAGAAAGAGGATGGTGTCCTTCACTTTGTTAAACCCCCTTCGGAAACATGGGTAGGGCTCACAAATTTAAATACATTTCCTCCCTATGGAAACATACAGATGGGGACAGGTAAGTTTCCATAGAGAATTTTTGTATTAGTGAGACTAAGGGTATTAACTATGTATGTGTGAATGGACTAGTTATTGTCTCGCCTTTATTCTTGTAGATATACCCCTGCTTTAAGTTGTATACATACTGTCTTACCTTGTATATTATTTACTACAAAGGTATGTCTTACTTATGCATTCTCAGTGTATTTTTAATTTTCCTTATTCTACTTGTTAATTCAGTGCAATTCTGATACAATTGATTCTGACAGCTCGATGACTAAGCTCTTTAGTGACGAAACGTCTGACGAACACCATAGCACAAGTGGACTCTTTATTACTGTGTTTGCAATTGTTCAAGATAAAATCTATTTTGGAAAGAGAAGAAATGAGCACTGAACCACTGATATAATACAAGTGAACTCTTTATTTACTGATAAAGATAAAACCTATTTGGGAAAGAAACTACTTTTGCCATTTTTATGGATATTTATTGTTTGTTTACAGACAGTTGGTGATAGTAGCTTGTGTCGACTGCAGTAGTCATTGTATCACCACCCTGTTGTTTTATTGTTCCATCAGCTTTGGCTGGTGGCCCAGCTGTGCCCCTATCTGGACAGGGATAGCCTAACTTCTGTCATCTATGCTCTGGTAACCTTTAGATTTGATTACTGTAATGCATTCTATGTGGGTCTGCCTCTTACAATCCTTGTAGACATAGGCTTCAAAATGTGTGGTTCAGATCTCAGAAGACTGAGCCACACTTCCGATGTCCAAAGTGCTTCATGTTGATGAGCAAAGGCAGAATAATTACTTTGGACTTCAAGTTCTGGTTTATTGGTGAATTTTCTGCAGGCTATGCATGCTGCTAGCCATAAGTGAGGAAAGATGGGGTGGTTTGACTAAATGACCCCCAATGATAGATTACACCCATATACTGACAATGTCTATAGGACTACTCTGGAATATCCAATAAACCTCCCCACTCAGCCTTTAATGGAAATGGAAAGTATCTCTCCCACAACAAAAATCAAAATTTTATCAGGACAAAAATCTAGAACCTGGAAACTACAGGGAAGTAGATTTCAGCTAAGTGTTAGGAGAGATTTCCTAATGGCAAGAGCTGTTCAACAGTGGAAATGCTGGGCTCTCTCCTTCACTGGAGGCATTTAAGCAGCTGTCGGGGTGCTGTAATTGCATATTCTGCACTGAAGAGTGGGTCAGACTAGATAGCCACCGAGGTCCCAGCCCACTCTACAATTATTTTATTCTGTGTGAACGCAATGCATTGAAATATGCCTCCAGCTATCAGTTTGTGCTGCGAGAATGAAAGGGGGAAAACACACCCATCTGCGGCAAATTGGCTGACGTTTGTTTAATGGAATCAAAGATACAAGAATGACAGGATGGTGAAAGAAATGCTGTGATGTGGTTTAAAACGTTGTGCGCACCCTTAAATGAACCCCACAGAAAACACCACCAGAAGAAGGAAAAGGTTGGGTTATGTTCGTGGAGGCAATATACTGGCTTATCTGATCTGAGCACAAACATATATACATGCTGTATTTATGAAAGAGATGAAGGAAACAGAATATATATTATACGGATAGGCGTATGCAAGCTTTTGCGTTTCACAGAACCCTTCATCTGGAGGGGACCAAAGTTTTAAATATATTGAGCACGCCAGGTTGCGAGGGTAAAACATGCCACTAATCCAGGGTGTTAAATAACGGGCTGTGCACATGCCGCAATTCCAATCGGGTACAGAAGAACTGCAAAATGTGTTGCTGGATGCACAATTTAGCTCAAGCCTTTTTTTAAAAAAAAAAAAAGTTTCTAGTACTTTTGATTACAGAGATGTGCTTGCAAGTAAACAGGCAGTGTTTGATGAAATAAGACATGATGGTGAGTAAGATACCCAGTGGGCCAGGAGTACAACGGCAGCGCCCTGCCTAGCCCCTTTGATCCTCCCCACAACCAGCAGAGGCAAAGCAAATTAGGCAAAACAAGTGACATCCACATCAATTAAGTCGCTTGCAGGATTCAGCTTTTCTCCATGCAGAATGTGGATTCCCTGGTGTGTGTGTTTTAGCACAGAGAACAAACGGTCTAATAATGTCACCCCCCTTTCCATTACACCCGATGAAGAACTCTGTGAAGCTGGGATGCTTGCACCCTCCTCCAACCAGAATGGCAACCAGAGTCTATGCTGATCTCCTGCATTTAGAACAGCGGCCGCCCACCGGACGCTCCCCCATTAGCTGTAGCATGTATCCCAGCTCCGATCTCTCCGGAAGAAGTCATCTGCTACGGAGACGGAAGGGGCATAGTCCCTGCAGTCCGTGTTTGCGTAGGGGAAATATTCCGGTACTCTGAAAGCGTCCAAGTGCTGGGAGCCGCAAGACGTACAGCAGCACACAGAAGGGGCCTGGCTGTACTGTAACTGGGACTGCTGGTGATAGGGGCTTCCTTCCGACGATGGATACATGCAGCTCTTGGCATCCAGAGGGGAAGGGGAGCTGTAAGAGAGTGGGGTGAAAGGAGGAGGCTGTGGTGGAGAGTAGCTGTAATCAAATGAGCTGGAGGGGTCAGAGGAATCCGGGGATCCGGGACCCTATGGAGAAGGGAGAGGAGAGAGAAAAGGAGGCATCTAAGGAAAAGAAGTCAATAATAATTAAGGCTCCAGGCTTCATTTATTGATTCTCTTTATATTCCACCAGAGAGCCAGTGTGGTGTAGTGGTTAAGAGCGGTAGACTCATAATCTGGTGAACCGGGTTCGCTTCCCCGCTCCTCCACATGCAGCTGCTGGGTGACCTTGAGCTAGTCACACTTCTCTGAAGTCTCAGCCTCACACACCTCACAGAGTGTTTGTTGTGGGGGAGGAAGGGAAAGGAGAATGTTAGCCGCTTTGAGACTCCTTCAGGTAGTGATAAAGCGGGATATCAAATCCAAACTCTTCTTCTTCTCCAAGGGGCCCAAGGTGGCAAACACGGTTCTCCCCCTCTCTGTTTTATCTTCACAACAACCTTGTGAGGTTGGTTAGGCTGAGAGAGAGTGACTGGCGTATGTGAGGTTCATGGCTGAGTGGGGATTCGAACCCATGTCTCCCTAGTCACACAATCTAACCCAGGGGTCAGCAAACGTTTTCAGCAAGGGGCTGGTCCACTGTCCCTCAGACCTTGTGGGGGGCCGGACTATTTTTTTTTGGGGGGGGGATGAACTATGCCCCACAAATAACCCAGAGATGCATTTTAAATAAAAGGACACATTCTACTCATGTAAAAACACACTGATTCCAGGACCGACCGTGGGCCGGATTTAGAAGGTGACTGGGCCGGATCCAGCCCCCAGGCCTTAGTTTGCCAACCCATGATCTAACCACACTATCACACTGGCTTTCTTTAATTGCTTTAACAGATGCCCAAAGCAAGGCTTCATCAGAGCAGATGTGCTTCTCCCAAAGTTATTTACAGCTTTCGGCAATTTCTGTCCTGCAGTCGTGGCTCTTACTTTCCTGCTGTATGAATCCCCCAAGCATACGGGTGCTTTGTAAAATCCTGAACCCCAACCCCATAAAAACTGAAGCACAATTACCAGGCTTTGGTTGAGGTAGGGAGGGCCTAGTTGGAAGCTGTCGGGAGAGCAAGGCATGTTGCCCTGGGTAGTCCCCATAGTAGCATCCAAAGGTAGCTCAGTTTGAAGGCAGGAATCAACCAGCTGCTCCAAGTAACTGGGGAGCTCCTCGCAGGCAGTGCAGTTTTGGAACTGCCAGGGTTGTACGCAGCCAGACGAAGAAGAGGCAAGTTCTGTGTCTACGTAAGAGGCTAAGAGAGGAAGGAGAAGAGAGAACAAGACAGTAGGACGCAAGGATAAACAGCTGTCATTTTAGTTAGTTGCATCATTTAGATGATTTATATGCTCCCTTTTGCACAAGCCAAAGGGCAGCTGAAAACAAGCAAATAAGAAAAGAAAAAAATCCATGAAAATAACACAATTATTGAAGAACGCATGACAAGTGTAAGGTTCGACACTAGGCAGGAAGAATCAGCTGCATAAATAGGAGATGGGGGACACCAGGAATGTCAATAGTACACGTGAAAAGGATATAGGGGTCTTAGCGGGCCGCAAGCTTTATATGAGTCAACAATGCAATGCAGCAGTAGCAGGAAAAAAAGCAAAAAGCAAAAAGCTGATGCTATTCTAGGCTGCATCAACAGAAGTATAGTGCCCAGATCAAAGGAAGTAATAGTACCGTTCTATTCTGCCTTGGTCAAAGCACACCTGGAATACTGTGCCCAATTCTGGGTGCCACAATTTAAGGATATTGACAAGCTGGAAGGTGTGCAGAGGAGGGCAACCAAGATGTTCAAGGGTCTGGAAACCAAGTCTTATGAGGAACAGTAAAGTAAGGTTACCAGACGTCCCCAGATTTACAAATCAGTCCCCTGACAATATCCTATCATCCCTACTGAAGTTGAAAACTGGATTCATGGGGGGGGGGATCTGGTAGCCTTAGGGTAAAGAGGAGACTGAGAGGAGATATGACAGCCATCTTCAAGGGCTGCCACGTGGAGGATGGATCAAACTTGTTTTCTCCTGCTACGAACCAAGGGATTCAAGTTACAAGGACTAAACATCAGGAAGGACTTTCTGACAGTAAGAGTTCTTGCACACCAGGAAGGAGCTGATGTAAGATGTGAAAAGATTAACCCACCACCACCCGCTGGATTAACAGGAAGAGAGAGAGAGAGAAAGAGAGAGAGAGAGAGAGAGAGAGAGAGAGAGAAATGGATGGGAGAGAAAGCAAGCCACTAAACTTGGCCCATTAGTTCCTTTTGGGAACAGGATGGGTCTATAGGCCAGCCCCAAACTGAGATGAAGAGGCTGCCAGGTGGGGCGAGGACATCTTTGCTGGCTTCCCCCTCTGTGTGTCCTCCTCTGCATTTAGCAAAGTTCTGATTGGCTAGGTTCCTAATTAAATGCCAGGTTTAGGAAGTCCGGAAAAGAAGTGGGATGTGTTTTGGGAGAGAGGGGAAAGGTGGGGGGTGGGGAGAGAGGAAAAAAGGTGCTCTCTCTTTTTGTACCAACCTGCACAGGGAGGGGAGAAAGACTCCGTCAAATGGACATTGTTGCCACTGCCTTCTCCGGAAACCTGAGAACACAAGGAATAAAGCAAAGCACAGCTGGGTGGTTCTCCATTTATAAAGCAGAAGGAATTCCTTGCCTCCTTCCCTCCCCCCTTCCTTCATCCCCTTAACACGGTGGAGGTAAGTCCAGGCTTTATCTCCAAGCGGAGCACGCAGAGAGTTAGCAATGCAGGTTGATTCTGCTGTTATCTGTGTAGGTTGAAGTTGTGGCCATGTTAGATGTTAGTTAGTCTGTTACCAAACTCATAAGATGCGTGCTCCCATAGAAGAAACATGCAATTCCTGAAATCTGTTAAGAACGCACTATTTTGCCATGGGACAGGCTCTCAGCATTTTTTTAAAAAAATAATAATAACCTGCTATCAACATGCCTGTGTTTAGGGTGAAGCGCCACCGAGAGCAGGAAATATTTTTTAAAAGTTACTGGAAGGTCACCCCTATTTGCAAAGCATTCCCCTGCTGGAATTTACAACCTTGCTTTGTTTGATCACAGTTAAATCCATAAAGGCAGGCTCTGTAACAGCAGCTGTTCCAACTGAACTCCAGTCTAGAGCCTAGACACAGAGTTTACCTAAAAAGGAATTTGAAGGCAGCTCAAAGCAAATGGGATGCCTCTTCCACAAACAGAGGGGTTCTCCATAAGATGAATGAAATTTCCCCCCGGGGGGGGGGTGTTTCACAGTCCCTCCACTCCTTGCCAGGTTTCGACTCAAGCGAAATCCGAAGGCAGTTTCAAACACCCAAAACTATGTTGAGGAAAGCCATCTGAGTCACAAAGAAAGCTAGTGAAATTTCTCAGATGAGATATCGCATGTTACAAGAACCCTCTAGCCTCTGATTTTAAATATTGGGGAGAGGTCCCTCTGAGATTGCTATTAATCTGTGTATTTACACTAAAAATAATTTAACTATTTATAATATTCCATTTTTGACACACAATGCTTAGGACACTCCCGAGGCAGCAAAGAAACATTTAAAAAAATAAAAAGCAGAAACAGGAATGTGAAATGGCATTAAAGTCTCAGGAGCAGACATGAGGCAACATCACGAGCCATTGTCAATAGAAACTGAGAAAAGCTTAAATTCTTCCCTGCATGAGGAAGGATATGATATGAAATGACAGGTGAGCAAATCTATCAATTTTTATTTCTCTCGGGCTCTCATTTTTCCACTCTTAAACACAAGTTTGCACATCAGCAAGCAGATTCTTTTTTAAAAATAAGTCTGTGTGAAAATTTGTCTGCATTTTACTGCTAATTTCTTCTAACATACACATTTTTGCAAACAATTTCCCCTAACATAAAGCATTTTTGTATGCTCTTTTAACGTAATATATGCATTTCTATGCACACTTTATCGCACACACATTCCTCAATAGAAGAAATGCACTGCCAAATTTGGAGAAGTGCAAATTTCCAATGGTGATTTTGTGTTTCAGTTTGCATATTGTTTCTGCCCCAATACATTAAAAAAATCTCTTTTGCCATCTCTTCTCTCCCCTTCCCTTGCAGGCTGCCCGCAGGATCATCTTAATGGCTGCCTTGCTTGTGTTCTAAAACCTCCTGCTTAGATAAGAAAGCGACTGTTGTTTTCTTACAGCAGCACAGCTAGAAAACTAAACTACATTCACAGATTTTTATGTCATCAGAAGACGTATCTTCAACTAGGGTCATTTCAGTGCTGAAGGGATTGATGCTCTCTCTCACACACACATACTTTCCAGATTGCCCAGTTTCTTAGACAAAGGGCAAATGTCTTTTCCAAGGAATAGCAACAGGTGGGTACTAGAGTTAATCTGTGAAGGTGGAAAACAGCCCTCCAGTGATGTGAACCCGGAAGCAGTATTTGGCTGGCTTTTTCTTTATGCAAATCACTAAAGCAACATAAGCAAGGGGAGCTCTTTGCACATAGTGCAATGTGCTGTGTGTGACTTCTTGATCACTCCTCCTCTCAAAGAGCAGTTAACACTTTCCCACCTTCCTGCAATGGCAGGGGCGGGGAACCGGGGCTCAGCCGGTGCAACCATTGATCAGGGATGATGGGCCGCATAGTCCAATATCATCTGGAGGTCCTCAGGTTCCCCATTCCTGAGCTATAGGATGCTCTGTGTTACCATCATCAGCATTTGAGACCGATTAGCTACACCTTATGTGACATGGGTGGCGCTGTGGTCTAAACCACAGAGCCTAGAGCTTGCTGATCAGAAGGTTGGCAGTTTGAATCCCTGCGACAGGGTGAGCTCCCGTTGCTCAGTCCCTGCTCCTGCCAACCTAGCAGTTCGAAAGCACGTCAAAGTGAAAGTAAATAGGTACCGCTCTGGCAGGAAGGTAAACGGCATTTCCGTGCACTGCTCTGGTTCGCCAGAAGCAGCTTAGTCATGCTGGCCACATGACCTGGAAACTGTATGCCAGCTCCCTCGGCCAATAAAGCGAGATGAGCGCCGCAACCATAGTCTTCCATGACTGGACCTAATGGTCAGGGGTCCCTTTACCTTTTTTAGCTACACCTTAACTCTTAAGAGATTACAGGCTGCACCCTAATAAATTCCTCTCATCAGATGAACAGATCTAAACGACCCACGTCCATTAATTTCAATGGGTCTACTCCAAAGATGATAAATGTTGGAAACTCAAAAGTCTACGCACTCTTGCTTTGTAAATTTAACAAATGATAACACAGGAAACTACATTATGTAAGGTCAAACTATTTGCCTATCTAGCTCACTATTGCCCACTCTGACTGGCAGCGCCTCTCCAGAGTCTCGGACACAAACCTTTTCACATCAGCTGCTGCCTGATTCTTTCGGATCGTGATGCCAGGGATTGGAACCTGGGTCCTTCTGCATGCGAAGGAGGTGTTGCAGCACTGAGCTATAGCCTCCCCACCCTACCCGCACCATTAGAAAATGGGAATTGTAGCTTTTTTAAAAAAGAGAGAGACCATGTAAGACTACCCATGGTTTAAATTGCGAAACAGGGATGGGTGTAACCTGGAATCTTGCGTTGGCCTAACATCCAGAGTGGAGGCATCAGAGGGTGACAGAAACGCCCAGGTCTCTGTGTCATAACCCTCCCTGATGCTTTGGAGTATCAACTCAGCAGAAATTCAAGCACAGTCGCGAAAAATTCCACCTCCAGTTTATGCATTGCAAAAGCTGACTTGTGGTGCCACATCCAGACTGGTGTGTGTGGAGCAGTCCTTCAGCATTGAATTCACCCCCTTCTGCCTCTTTCTTCTGGACCAAAAACTTCCACTTTCTGCAAACCACCCACAGAAAGGGAAGGTCCTCTGATTGAGATGTTAGAGCCCAAGTGTTGCATGCAGAAGTCTCCCTGTATCTCCAGATACGGCTGCGAATCTGGAGGACCACTGCCATTTATTGTAGACAGTGCTAAGTCAGATGGACTAATGGTCTCTGCATAATACAGCTTCCCATGTTCTTATGCTAAAATTAGCAGATTAGGCTTTCATTCTTATCATTTGTTAAATTTGCATGCCGCCCATCCTCTGAAGACCACAGGGCAGTCCACAACATAAAAGTACAAAAGGCGAACTCAAAAGGCGTAAGAACACAAAAACAAACCAATAGCCCTCCTCCCACAAACACATTTTAAAGGCCATAGAATGCTAATGTCAATTGAAAAGGAACTTTTCGCCTGGTGCCTAAAGGTGTCTAATGAAAGCACCAGGTGAGCCTCCCTGGGGAGAGAATTCCACAGACAGGGAGCCACCACAGAGAAGGCTGGTTCTCATGTTGCCACCCTCCAGACCTCTCATGGAGGAGGCACACAAAGAACGTCCCCAGATGATGATTGCACTTTAACACTTGGTTGGTCAGAAAATACTGGTCAAAAATGTCATGCATTAATTTATGAGAACAAAGAGGGCACCTTATGGCTGGTTTACAGATAAAGGTTCAATGCTTGAGGGGTGATTGGTAGTACAGTGGTACCTCGGGTTAAGTACTTAATTCATCGACATATGAGCATGAATTTCTCCTAATATTAATGTTTGCATGCAGTTCTGCCTAAAGGTAAAGGTAAAGGGACCCCTGACTGTTAGGTCCAGTCATGACCAACTCTAGGGTTGCGGCACTCATCTCGCTTTATTGGCCAAGGGATCCGGCGTACAGCTTCCGGGTCATGTGGCCAGCATGGCTAAGCCACTTCTGGCGAACCAGAGCAGCGCACGGAAACACTGTTTACCTTCCTGCTGGAGTGGTACCTATTTATCTACTTGCACTTTGACGTGCTTTCGAACTGCTAGGTTGGCAGAAGCAGTTCTGCCTAATAGCCACATTTTTTGCAAGGCATTTTCTTCCTAACAGAATGCATTTTGTATGTTATTTTCACCAATACAGTGGTACCTCGGGTTAAGTACTTAATTCGTTCCGGAAGTCCGTTCTTAACCTGAAACTGTTCTTAACCTGAAGCACCACTTTAGCTAATGGGGCCGCCCGCTGCCGCCATGCCGCCGGAACACGATTTATGTTCTCATCCTGAAGCAAAGTTCTTAACCTGAGGTACTATTTCTGGGTTAGCGGAGTCTGTAACTTGAAGCGTATGTAACCCGAGGTACCACTGTATGTATGAATGAACTACTGCAGGAAGACTTCCATACGGCTTTGCATCAGCTCCAGTATAATGTTTCTTCTATAGTCAGACCCAGTCTAAACGAGCAATAAACTGTTCCTGGACTGCACCGCTTCAAACTGCAAGCGGAGGGTGACAATGGTGAATACTCTTGCATATATTTTAATCCTTGCAATAGAAAGCTAATATGCTAGGGAGAAGGGTTCTGAGCCCCACATTTCTCACTGACAAGCTAGTTTTCTACATGCAGGGTTTGGTGTTTGGTAGGAAAGGATTCAAATGCATCGCCCCTTCAATCTGAAGTGGTGCTATGTGGGAACAGCTGTTTCAAGATCCCAGGTTCTAGTTCACACATGTTCAAGTGTTGCACAACCAAGTGGCATGGTGCAGGCCACGTCACTAATTGAAAGGAAGAAAATAACAAGTTGTTTATTATTATGATGCAATTGGCCACAACTGTGGGAAGAGGAGGAGGTGCTTACGGCTTCATCGGCCACAGCCTGCTTGGCTCTTCTCTGCTGCAGAAGCTCCTTCACTGTAATCTTGACTCGGACACCTTGATAGACCTTTGGTTTTCCTAAAAGAACCAATTTAACAATAGGATTTTATATTCTGAAAAGTAAAAGGTGAGTTTAGGGTTTACCAGCTTGGAGTCATAAATTGCTTAAGCAAGTGATTCTACACTTTAGGAATTGGGGGACTTGGGTTCTAATCCTGACCACACTACCTTTAAATATTTCCTCCTTTATAGGGTTTACTTACCTCTGGGTAGGAGGAAGCTGAAAGTCATGCTGAATTACAAAACAGGAAGTCAAAATAAACTTGTAAGGGGAAAGGCCTTAAAATGCGGTTTGAGCCTTTGCATGTTTTAATTGGATTTTTTACATCAGCTTGAGCACAACATAGAATTTATTCTTGTTCTTATTACACTTTACATAGCACTCTTTATCAAAAGATCACAGGGTGGTGTACAACATTAGAAACACATTGTGTATGTTTACATTTTAATGTTTGCATTATTGGTTTTTATACCTGCAATTTTAAGTTAGTGTAATTGGCTTTTATCATCAAACTACCTAGGCGCCTACTTTTCCATTAAGCAGTATATAAAGAATAGCAATTTATTATTAAGAATAATAATACTCTGAAGTAAATCCCACTTAGTTTGCAACGCCACTTTGGGGCTTACTGTCTTGGCTGCAATTCCAACTCTACTTACCTGGGAGTAAGCTCCACTGACTTCATTGGGGCTTGCTTCTGATTATATGTAGTTAGGACTGCACTGTTAAATGTTCACCATCATTCCCTTATACTAAAAACTGTATTTGTGTGAACATTTATCAGACTTTCATGGATAACATATAAATACTTTAGAAAGAGGGGGTCAATGGCAGACTGTTGGATGAGTGGAATGATCGAAACCATTTTTTTAAAAAAGGAAAACTTGATGTCAGTATATCTCTCTGAATATATTATTGATGGCCTTGCAACCATTCCTTAATTTGTAAACACTTCCTGATAGAACGCATGTTGTCAAACATTTGTCAAATAAAGCTTCCCCCAACATGAGTTTAGAGTTCGATAAACCTATTAAGTCCAGATTACACTCAAGGAGGTCTCATTCCATTCTGGTCAGTAAGTCTGAAGAATCTGCCGCCCCCCCGACACACACCGCAGGGAGGGCGCTCAGTATCTTTTTGTCATGCCTGATGGCCCTGTCATGACCCAGTATGAGTTCCCGTTCACATAACAGCAACTCAGTTTTGGGCACCCTCCCATTTGATTCTCACAGGGAGGGCGATGGCAGAGAGGAGAACACATTTCAGCACGACTGGGGAGACGCAAGTAGAATTTTAAGGCTGGAAGATTATCCTAGAAGCTTACTGCAGAACTAATGTGGTGTCTCCAACAAAGTTCTGCTCCGAGTGGGCCTCCTGAAATCAATAACCCTAAATGAGTTGCGCCATGTCCGTTAATGTCAATGGGTTAACTTACAGTCTGAATAGGGACCGGAGTTGGCTACACCACTGGCGTAGCCAGGAGGGGGCAGGGGGGCAGCTACCCCCCCCATCAAGTAAAACAATAGAAATACATAACTGACCAATCACGTTGGTTCTGCCCCTCCCCCCACAACAAAAGTCCTGGCCCCCCCAACAAAAATCCTGGCTACAGCCATGGGCTACACCCCGATATTTTGCACCCTATTTTTTCTTATAGTAACCAAGAGCCTTGGTTATACTGTGATCCAAGGCTTCATGGGCACGTCTATTTAATTCTGCATTCATAACACTTTGTGCTCAATATGGGGCAGTTATGCGCAATCCTGCTTTCAGGGCGCACTGCTTCATTTCAGATCGGTGCATGTCCCATTGCTACTTGTGGTTCTTCCCCCAAGCAGAATGACGTGCGGACAGCCCAGTATAAATCCACCACTAATACGCTATCTGTTTCTATTGCTACTTTAAACTAATATTTATATCATTTTATGTGAACTGCTCAAGAGATTTTTTTTTTAAAAAAAATTAAGTGGTGTATTTGTCTTGATAAATAAATACCCAAAGTCATTAAACAACAAAATACAGCTGGTCATTAAAGAGCAGGAAGTGAGCGCTGCACTTATACAGATACAACTAGCACTCGTCCCAACAGTAGACAGTCGTTATTAATGGTGCAATCCTGTGCGGGCTTACCTTGGAGGCAGCCGCAGTGAACAAAGTGAGACCTACTTCCTAGCAGACATGCATAGGTAAAGGTAAAGGGACCCCTGACCATTAGGTCCAGTCATGGCCAACTCTGGGGTTGCGACGCTCATCTCGCTTTATTGGCCGAGGGAGCCGGCGTACAGCTTCCGGGTCATGTGGCCAGCATGACTAAGCCGCTTCTGGCAAACCAGAGCAGTGCACAGAAATGCCGTTTACCTTCCCGCCGAAGAAGTACCTATTTATCTACTTGCACTTTGAGGTGCTTTCGAACTGCTAGGTTGGCAGGAGCAGGGACCGAGCAACGGGAGCTCACCCCGTCGCGGGGATTCGAACCGCCAACCTTCTGGTCAGCAAGTCCTAGGCTCTGTGGTTTAACCCACAGCACCACCCGCATCCCTAGCAGACATGCATAGAATGACAGAATCCTGGAGTCCTGGAAGGGACAACAAGGGTTGTCTACTGCAACCCCCTGCAATGCAAGAATCTTTTGCCCATTGTGGGGCTCAAACCCACAACCTTGAAATTAAGAGTAGCGTGCTCTATTGACTGAGCTATCCCAGTGGCATGTGCTTATGCTGTCTGGCTGTGAATTCCTTGCAACTGGAGTGTCCCTAATTCAAACCTCGCCTTTGCCATGGTTCCACCTGCTTACTCTAGCTCATGCTTAGAGGCTGTGTAAGCACATTGAAAGCACACACCAAGACCCCTGGGAACTATGGCTTACCCCTCAGAGAGATACAATTCCTAGCACCCTTAACAATCTACAGTTCCCAGGATTCTTGGGCGGTGGGAGATGTGCTTTAAACGTACGGTGTGTACACAGCGTTAGTCTGTCTTTATCATTCCCATTCACGGGAGGGGAAGAATGATACCAGTCTACATTACAGGGCTGTTGTGAAGCTTGCCTAGGAGAGCAAATGTGAAGGTCTTCCACAAAGCTCAAAATGTGCTGTGCAAGTGCTATGTATTAAACAGCCAAACAAGTGATACCTGTCCTGAGAAAACAGAAGCATCAAGTTTCAGCCAACAACATACAGTGCTGCAGCTACATAATGTTAGAGTCTTGATTTAATGGTCTTAACTGGGCAGGGCAGTTTGCAGGAAACGGAGAGGTCCTTAGGTAGTAATGCGTTACAGATTGATTTCCAGGGAAGGTCAGTGAGCCCCGATATGTTTTTTTTGCGGTGGGGGGCACCTGCTCATTCTGCTTAGGGGACCACAGGCACCTGCCCAGTGTCCTGCCCTGACAAACAGCACTGAAGATTCCTAGAATAAGTTTGCCAGATGAGAAGCTGCAACAATTTTATTCCCCTGCAGAGGTTTGGGAAACAGAGCAGGGGGAGAAACCTGGGTAATTCTTGTGCATCTGGCACCATCTGAGACCGTGCCATTCCGCTGCAAAATGCCTAAATGTATATAATCAGTGGCAGTATTTTTTATTTTTATTTTAAGGAAGGTATCTTGTGCCAGGGGAAAAGGAAAACGAGAGGCCTTTCTTTTACTGGAACTCACTACTATTTTCAGTGCTAGCTTGCCTTATTGGGTGGAAGTACCACCCCCCACGCCCCCAAAAAACCCCAGACTGTGTTGCTTCAAGATTCTGTGCAGCCTTGCTTACATTGAGTGCAGTCATGATGCGGGAATGCTGCCATCAGGCTAGAATTTTAGGAAATTTGCATACACACAAACAGCAAGGTTGCTTTACTACATTTTGGTGGAGTAGTATCGTATTCACTCGAATCTAATGCTCACCTTTTTTGGCCAAATTACGTCGCGAAAATTAAGGTGTGCATTAGATTCGACAGTACATTTACATTCGCCAGCAAATACCTTTTTTGGTTTCAAGGTTCTGAAAATTTAGGTGTGCATTACATGCAATGGTGCAGTAAGACTCGAGTAAATTTATACATTTTATCTAAAGAGGTGAGCCCCTGTGTAAGTCCAAAGTACAGTATTAAATTACCCAGCTGCACCACAGAGCAGTAGTAATTTGGTTACAGCGACATTTATATCCCACCTTTCCTCTGAGCTCAAAAAGTACACATTTCTTCTCCATTTTAGCTTCACAACAACCACCCTGTGAGGTAGGTTCGGCTAAGAGACAGAAGACTGGCTCAGTGGGCTTCATGGTGGAGAGGGGATTTGAATCCTGGTGTAGCCTAGCCCCCACTTACGCTGGTGGTACCCGTCCCACAACCACTGGGCGTGACGCCCCTTTCTGAAAAACCAAAAACTTATATGGCTTCTAGAAGATTGGCCGGCTCAAAGTGTTGCAAACATGCAGAACGGAATTCCGGAATCAAGGGTCACTGTCTAAAGGAGGGGTGAAGAACCTGTGTCCATTCAAATGCTCTGGGACCTCCAATGTACATCACCCCTTACCACTGGCCCTGCTGCTGAGGCTGATGAGAGCCCAGCAATACCCGGAAGCCAGTGTGGTATACAGTAGTTGTTAGAGTGTTGGACTTGGACCCGGGAGACCTGGGTTCAAATCCTCGTTCAGCCATGAAGTTCACCTTGGGCTAGTCACTGCTTCTTAGCTTAGGGTTGCTGTGGGGGTTAAAGGAGGAGGCGGAGAATCGTGCCTGCCACCTGGCGTTACCAGGAGAGAGGGTTGGATATAAATGTAATCAGTAAATAAGTTCATCCCTTGTTTTTTTAAAAAGCCACCCAGATGGCTAGGCAAGGCAAGCACTCAGAAGAGCTTTTGAGCAGCTGCAACTTAGAGCATTGCATGCCCTGTGGGAGACTCTCTGCCTGCAACCTTGGAAAGCTGCTGCCTGCCAGTGTCTAGACAACAGCACACAATTGGTCTGACTGAATATAAGGCAGCTTCCTTTGTTCCTATCGTGGGCTGGATTCAATGCTAGAGCTGACCCACTGGAATCAAAGAACCTAAGTATGTCAGGTCCAATAACGGCAATGGGTCTACTCTTAAGACCAGCACTGGGTACAACCCTATGTAATTCTTTGCAAACCAACTCTGTAAATTGTAGTGGGCCTCTAAACTCAGCGGTAAGTATGGATGAAATGGGTTCTTCTGCCCAACTCGATGATGTTTTCCCGCTACTCCATATCTGCCACTCACCAACCACCTACACTAGAGCCGATTCCCACGAGGGAGAGGAACAACTTGTGTCTGGCCAGCTCCCTGAACTGTCCCTTTTGCACAAGGCGCGCCTAGGTCACAAATGCGTTTATCCCCAACCCGGTTTAAATGTCAGGGCTTGCGGGGCCGCCTGGGAAGGGTAGTTTTGCAGGAAAAGCCTATTCACTCTCCGCAGCTCAGAATCCTGCCATTTCATGTCTCTGGGTGGTGCAAACATCTCGCCCAAGAACCCTTGCTTTCGTGAGTAAATCCCGCGTTTGCTTTGGGAGGGTGTGTGTGAGAGAGCTTTGCAGAGGCATCTGAGGGCTGGGAACGGGGGGGGGGGGGGAAGAAGCGGTGAAATTTGGAGAGGGGGGCTCTGATCCCTCCCCGCTCCTCAAAAATAAGAAAAAGAAGAGCAGGGGGGAGAGACGGGGAGCGGGCTGCTGCAAGCCGTTTGCAAACCGATTCCACGGCACGCCAGTTCGACGGGGCTTACTCCGGAGTAAGCGCGCCACGGATCGGAGCCCTGCGCTAGGCTGGCTGCGCCGGAGGGAGCCTGGTCGGTGCTTCCCTCGTAAGCGCCGTGAGTAACTGCGGGCCGCCGCGCTCCCTTCCGCGCCTGCCTTCTATCCGCGCCGCCAGCCAACAGACCCCCGCTCCGAGACCTGCACGACCCGCACGTGGGAACGGGAAAGCGGGCGGGGGCAGGCCGGATCCGCTCCAAGGAATCTCGCTGCGGGTGGCTCCCGAGGTCGGGTTAGGAGGGACCGCAGCCCTCTTGCTCGGGAGTAGAGGCGTCGTGCTGTCTCCAGCCGGGCTCCTTGCCAAAGCGGCGGGCGATTCCTCGCCTGCCAAGCTGCCCTTACTTACCCGGAAAGAAGGAAGCGCCGTGGAGCACGGCGGGGGGTGGGGCTTACTTCCGAGTAAAACGTGGCCCGGATCCGGCTTCGGGACTCCGAAGTCAACGTGCACAGCAATTGCAAACTCTATACACGGTTTTTGACAGCTTGCATTTATTCCACCCCCCGCCAAAAAAATAACAATTGCAACCTTGTGCACGTTGGCTCCGGAGAAAGAGCCGTCGCAATCCAGGGGACTCGCGTGCAGCGCGATCCTATGTCTGTTTACTCGGAAGTATCCGGCTTCTCTTCCCAACCGACAATCTCCCTGCCCCTACTTTACACCCCACCCGCAAGAGACCCACCTGAGATACCCATTTCCTTCCACCTCGCATATCTGCCTGCCTCCCCAAGCCGTGCACGGAAAGCGTATATTGCGCGTGGGAAGAATGGAAAGCGATCGCGCGTGGGGAGCGCAGCGGGGTTTTTTTTTTTCCCGTGTGGATTTTCTTGCGCGGCAGCGCCGCCGCTGGACTCAAAAGGAATAGCACGGGGGACCTGTGGGCACAAGCGACCCTTATTGAGCGCCGCACTCCATTAAACAAAAAGTCGCATCTTCCCCCCCCCCCAACCACCGCACCCCACCCTACTGTATTAGGGGTGCACTCATTTAGCCTCTCCTCTTCCTCCCGGGAAGTGGGGAGAGCCAGGTGGCTGGCTAAGCCCCGCTGTCGTGGTGGGTGGGCTCTGATCGTCCCCTGAATATTAAAATCCACAACTAATCACCTGGCAAGTTACGTGGCTGAAGTCTTAAATTGCACCCCGGGGATGGAGGGGGAGAAATGTTTGTAATTTGGAGATCCGTAGCCCCTGGTTGCCTGGGCAGAGAGGCTGGCTTTGGAGGTGAAAATTCCACATAAGCAATATGTGTTTTAAATATATACTTATACATATACATATATATATTTAAATGCTGCCTTTCACAGTGAAGTTTGGAGCAGCTGCACTCCAGAACATTTCCAGCTGAGACGCTTCTTTCTCCTGTAGCCCTGTTGCTCTGATGTGTTGTGTGCGCCTGTGCATATATATTTATATATTTATTATGTATATGAGTTTGCATCTGGTTAGATTTAACTTGCATGCACTTAAAGAAACATTGATTTCACTGCATTTTGGAGCCACTGGTGCCCTCCTGTTCTTAACTCTCCCCACCCTTTCCTCTTCCACCCTGTTTTATTTGAAAGCAAACTGTCCCAACAAACTACACGGGTGAGAATTAATCCACCCTCCCCACCAAAACCCCACAAAGAGAGAGAATGAAATCAAACTTACCTGACATTTTCCAGGGCAAGAAGAAGAAGAAGAAGAAAAAGTCTTTATTCTGGGTTGTGTTTTTTTTTCTTTACACCCAGGGATCTTCTGTGGACAAAAAAAGGGATCCTCAGCTGGGCTTCCTAATTCAAGAGGAAAACAGAGAAGAAAACAAGGTTTTTTCAGTTAAAAAGTCATTCCAAACCCTTTGTGGAGATCTCGAGTGGGAGACAAACAATATTAATGTTTTATACCTACAGATATAAGTTTGAATTTTTCTCCCCGCAAGCCAAGTATTTAAAACCTCAAGAATCCAATGATTTGACAATCAATGATTGCGCGATAGTTTCAATTTGAATATTCAAAGGCTCCACAAAATGGCCTACCTTTGAGTGAAAAGGAGCATCTCCCCACATAGCAGAGGGTCTGAGGGAATAAAATCCATCGCTGATGCCTCCCTGGGACCCCTGCCTGGGGGACATCGCCCACCTTTTACCATTCTTGCCACAAACAACCCAGATATCCCTGGGGATGGGTGGTATTTTCACGGGAGAGGAAGGCAGGCTCTCCTGCGGACCTCTAATGTCCCCTGCCAGCTGTCGGGGGGGCTCCTGCAACAGGTGGGGGGCCGTGGGGTTCAGGGTGCGCTTTGGGGGACCACATGTGAGATTTCCAGGAGCGAATATGGCCCTCGGGGGGCGTGGCAGGGCCAGGAAAGGCTGTCGAGGCCTGCAAGGAATGCTTGCGGATGGCAACAGAGCTATAGTCACTTCCACTGGCATTTCCTATTCATGTTCCCCGTTGCATGTGGCTCCCCCACCCCACCAAAGTTTTGCTTCACATAGACAGATGTGTCCCTCCCTCGCAATACAGCTGTTCTGGTTTGCATTCTGGGAAAGAATGAATTGGCATCACTGCCCACCCCCACGCCCGGCCCCAGTTCTCTCGCAGCGGAACTGGGTGTTGTGAGATAATGTTGCCCTTGGATGAAATTTCCCAAAAAATTCACATTGCATTTTCCTAATCCTGCGCCCCCCCCCTTTCACGGGATAGCTGAAGGCCTCAGGCAGGGACAGCTGGGTCAACCAGCGTGTAGGCGAAGCTGTTAATCATCTACCCTGGTTATAATTTGGCCATTGTTCCAGTTCATTTTTTTTTATTACAAAAGTTCAACAAATATAACTTGATTTGAGTTAGGGAGTGGTATGGGTTTAAAAATACTTCTTTTCTACTGGCTTTTCATCAGTCCATAGACTCTGGCACATGTAACCTGTAATCCTTAAATATATATATGTATATATATATATATATATATATATATGCACATTTATACATAAATTGCATATATACATATATATGCAAATCTCCTTAAAAGTACACTAGAGGGGATGAAAAGACTTCTGAGAGATGCAGGAAAAATCACTGGATATCTGTTCAACGGGAGATGGCTTGTGCTGCCCTCCCCACCCCAAAAAAGCATATCGATAGTGCTAAAAACACTTTGCTCACAAGAGGCAGAAATTGCATATTTATTTCACAAGATTTATATACTGCTTGATCACAGTAAAACCTGAAACTGGTTTACAAAGAGAACAAGACAATTAAATTACCAGGTTGTTGTTTTTTAAAGTTAAAAGCGACAATTAAGAACGTTCAGAACATTTGCTTGGGGTGGAGGACTTGACTGAGAAGCTGCCTCAACTTCTGAAGTTTGCATTTATTAAACAGACACTTTTGGATTACTGCTCAATCATGAACACATCGCTGACCCGTGGCAACAGCTAGTGTGTTAATTTTTAACGGAAAGGATGCCAGATCTCAAGACAACTGCCAGGAAGCCTTGCTTCTCGATTCCAGATGTGTCGAGAGTGGGCTGTGATTGCACTGGGGAGAGAAGCATTCTGCACGTGCTCAGGGACACCCTTGTTGCTGTTAGACAATGGCCACATTCACGCCATCCAATTATACTGTCATGGCTTCCCTCCAAAGAATTCTGGGAGCTGTCGTTTCTTAAGGGTGCTGAGAGATGTTAGGAGGCCCCTATTCCTCTCACACAGCTACAATCTCCAGAGCTTCTGAAGAGAGATCGGTTGCTAAACCACTGAGAATTGTAGTTTTGTGAGGGGGAAAGGGGTCTCTTAACAACTCTCAGCAAATTTTGAAGGATGTCTATGTTTCAGTTCACTTTTGTGTGTGTGTGTCTTGGAAGGTGCAAATTAGGTGGGTTTTCCTTTAAAAACAAACTGAATTGAATTTCTCTTCCACCCCTCACGTCAATATGTCATTTTTTTAAAAGTTGTGGTTTTTTTAAAATATAAACCACTTTTATGTGATAAAAATATCTCTGTAAAATGAGCACTTACCAGAGAGTAAGGGCCTCTGAAGCTCTGTCAAGCATTGGAGTAAACATGAGTAAGACTGTATTTCAGAGAAATAAACTCTAGTTTTTAAGTCCAATATGCATTTGAGGAGTTACATTTATTTTTTATTTTTTATATTATGTGAATCTTGTCTCTTTCCCCTTTCTCCCCCTTATCCTCTTTAATTAAAAACAACAAAAAAAGGGAAAAACTGTGGTCGCTGCTAATCCCAGGGTGGGGTGTGGACAGCCCAGTTGTGGCTTGTGCCCAGACTGAGACCAGCTTTGATGTGGCTGAAATGAAAAATGACATTCTGCAAGTATCTCGAACCATTTGCAATAAAATAAGCGAGGACACTCTGTGGTAACTTGAGTTGAAGCTGGCCACGTTAATTCATCATCATTGCAGCCCCATGCTATCCGGACAAACAGCTTCCTATTAGTCTGTTTATGGGGCAAGTGCACTTGGAGGTTGTTGTGGCGACGCTGTATTGCCAGAGTTTAATCCATTTATGAAGCAGAGTTTAATCGAGGGGTGGGGAACCTGCGGCCATCCAGATGTTGGGTGCCAGCTTTTATCAGCCTCAGCCAGCATGGCCAATGGTCAGAGATTATGAGAGCTAAGAGTCCAACAACATCTGGTGGGGGCCACAGGTTCCCATCCTCCCTATTTTACAACAGTCCTTGGAGGTAGGCTAGGCTGATAGATTTATCTGTGGTAAATCCATTTTGAGGCTAGGAATCACAGCAAGGGGCTATCTGACAACAGGCCCAAGGTCACCCATGAAGTTTCATGGCTGAGTGTAGATTCGAACCCAGCTCCCTGGTCCTGGCCTGATGCTCCAACTGCTGTCTGGTGTCAGTTAAGGATCCATGTGGTCCAGTCCTGACACTCAGATCCTGCACTGTTACTCTACAATCCTATGCATCTTTTTTGGGTGGGGGAGGACTAAGTTCCACTGAATGCGTCAGGGCATACTTCCAACCCTGCAAGTGCAAAAACCACCCCTCAAATTCTCCACTGGCTCAGTATTTGCTTGGGTAAATCTGGTTATGAGTTTGAAAGGCAGCGCTGTTTGTTTAGCCTTGAAAGATCAGGGAAGCAGTACATAAACAACAAGATGCAAAATATGAAAATGGTACTGTGATTGAGCTGAAGAACATATGCATCAATACCAAAACAATTAAACAACAGTGTAAATGTCTGTCAGAAGATGGGATACCAGCTGAAAGACCATCTCAACTCATTAGTCTTGCTTAATCCCATCCGGTTGAACTAGCATCTTTGAGAAGATTGATAACACCACACTCCTGACAAAATGCATCCTTTACTGGCTGATGAAAGTTTTTTGGGGCTGTTTTGTCACTGGAAGATTGTAGGTGTTGTTTCCCAGCCAGGGGAGTCCTCATCAGAGGAGGCCCAGAACGCCCTGGCCTTACAGCGCTCCATGGCTCAGGCTCCATCTTGGGGAAGGAGCCAGAATTCTGCAATGAGGATGAGTCCCAAAACAGATGGTAACCAAGCTCTATCTAGAGAAGTGCCTGACTATAGGCAAGGACTCCTCTGGAGCAAAAGTCTTGGGGAGAAATCCTCTCCTCTCAAGGAGACCACTGGAGAGAAGGGAGTTGATACGAGGCAGCTGCCGTTGGGGTGAAGTTCCAGCAGCTCCTGCTCAGAAAAACCCCACTGCCAGGCTGGAAAAACTACTGAAACAATGTCTGTGTGTGAGACTCTAGCACAGGGCCTCCCAATTCCCATTCCACAGAGCTAGTCCAGGAAGACACCATTGTCAATACCCGCCCTGCCCAGCCCAGCCCGAGATATTGTTGAGTCCATCAGAAGTTGCACAATTTAAAAGGAACATTTAAAGCACTCTTTAGCCAGAAAGGCTTCTGGGGCAGCTTACAAGGTAGGTGGTAAGATCATCGCTGCCATCAGGATTACAATGTAAAAGACGTGGCATGCAAGGAAAAGGGTAGAGGGAGGGAAGAGGAAAAATACAAGCTCAGG